ACTGGGCAGCCAATTGTCTGGAATGGTAGAGGGTCTCCTGCCTGAGCAGGGGGTTGGACTAGAAGACCTCCAAGGCCCCTTCCATCCCTCTTGATCTCTGTTCTGTGTTCTAAACAAGGGCGTGGCAGTGGGAGTGTTCTCTCTCTTCATTCTGGATTTCATGGGCTTCCGTCCCCAAAAGGTGAGGCCAAGGAAGAGCCTCTTCCTGCCCTGGTGGACCCCCGTGGCCAGAAGGAGCTGTTTTCCCCTCCCAAAGCCTGGAGGGAGATTGCAAGGAAGGAGAAGGCTGATCTCATGGAGGAGAAGATTTGGAGCTCAGGGTTGAAATGAGGGTCCTTGGGGCTCTCGGAGCTTGCAGGCCTTTCATTAGCCATCAGTGCACTGATGAGATTACCTAGCTGGGTCGTGAAACGTCTGCAAGAAAACTACCAAGCTCAGAGAGCCCCAAGGACCCCACAGTCCTCCTCCTCCCTCTCCCATTACTAACTTAACAATTGCGATTTCACTTAGCCACAAGGGCAATAAAAGCCGTAAAAGGGAGCAAAACTCACATAACATGTTTCCCTTAGCAACATAAATTCGGGGTTCAATTGTGGTCGTAAGTGGAGGCCTACCTGTTAAAAAAATCCACAAAGCTTTTACCTTTTACGGAGTTCTTCCTTGCTTTCGTCTACGGGTCCTTTTGCTCCTGGTTACGGTTTCTGCCAAACCTCGTGACTTCCTATTCAGTTTTTGGGACAGTACCTGCTGTCCCATTTCCTCCATTTCAAACTGACCTGTTATCCAATATTACCTTTCAGGTGTCCCCCTCCCCCCCTCCCTCCCTCCCTCCCTCCCAGTATCCTGTTTCATACTGGGTGATCCACCCCCTCCCTGCCCGGGCTCTATTCATAGCTGCCCCCTTTCTCCCAGGCTGCCCTCTTGGCAGCCCTCCCAGCACCTGTTGGGGGTGATGATGACGGCGCCCTTGGCAAAGGAGCAGGTGGCATTTCTGGCTGGGAGAGGCAGAGAAGGGCCCCCTCCCCTGGGCTCTCTTTTGGTGCCCCAGGGGGGGTCGGGAAGGAGCCCCTGCTTCCTGCTCTCCTTGACTTCCTGGTGGAGAATAACAGAACAGCAGAATGGAAAAATAAAGAAGAACAGGATGGAGAAGAACAGAATGCAGAATAATGAAACAACAATCCAGAATAACAGAGCTGGAAGGGACCTTGGAGGTCTTCTAGTCCAACCCCCTGCTCAAGCAGGAGACCCTATTCCAGTCTCTTCTTGAAAACCTCCCATGCTGGAGCCTCCACAACCTCTGGAGGCAAGCCGGTCCACTGATTTTAGGTAGTCCTCAACTTACAGCACTTTGCTTAGTGACTGTTCGAAGTTACAACAGCACTGAAAAAAGTGACCTTTTTTCACACTTACGACCGGTGCAGTCACATGATCAAAATTCAGATGCTTGGCAACTGCCTCATATTTATGACGGTTGCAGCATCTGCAGGATCACACGATCCCCTTTTGTGACCACCTGACAAGCAAAATCAACGGGGAAGCCAGATTCACTCAACGACCAGGATTTATTTATTTATTTATTATTTATTTATTTAATTTGTATACCGCCCTTCTCCCAGAGGGGACTCAGGGCGGTGAACAGCCAAAATTTAAAAACATACAAATACAAAAGTTAAGATAATTAAAAAAGAATTAAATCATTAGCTTCCCAATTTAAGACCCCCAAATCCATAAAATTTAAAATCCCAATTAAAAACCATTTAGGCTAGGCCTAGGAATGGTAACTTAACAACTGCAGTGATTCACTTAACAAATGTGGCAAGGAAGATCATAAAACGGGGTAAAACTCAACAAATTTCTCACTTAGTAACATAAATGTTGGGCTCAATTGTGGTCGTAATTTGAGGAGTAACAATCTGTAATTGTTCCCATTGTCAGGAAATTCCTTCTTCGTTCTAGGTTGCTTCTCTCCTTGATTCGTTTCCCTCTTTTAAGAGAACAAAGTTTTGCCTTTTTGTTTTCAGGGTCTTGTGTGGCCTCTTTGCTGCTTTCAGGACAGTGATGTAGTAGAAATTTTGTGCACCAACCAGCCAGGATGGAGTTTGACTTCAGGAACAGGATGGTGCCAAAATTTCCGGGTGTTGCTAGAACTTCCCATCTGGCTGGCAGGGTGAAGAGGAAACAGGAAAGGAAAAAAAACTCTGGATGGAGAAAGGAAAAGTTGATGTGATTTTACCAGATGTGGGTCCCAAAGACTCCACGTGCTGCTGAGTTGTCCAGCCATCTCATCATAAAAGGGTCAGAGGAGAACTGGACAGGGTTTGCCTTGTGTGTGAGAAGACATCAGTCATCGATGTGGCTGCTACAGCTTTCCATTGTGCTAATGCTCTGAGTCATTTAACAGAATAACAGAGTTGGAAGGGACCTCGGAGGTCTTCTAGTCCAGCCCCCTCATTCAGCAGGAAACCTATACCATTCCAGACGAAGAGCTCTCCAATCTCTTCTTAAAAACCTCCAGGGATGGAGCATTCACAACCTCTGGCGGCCAGCTGTTCCACTGATTAATTGTTTTCACTGTCAGGAAATTCCTCCTTCATTCCAGGTTGCTTCTCTCCTTGATTACTTTGTTTCTTGTCCTGCCTTCTGATGCTTTGGAGAATAGCTTGACTCCCTCTTCTTTGTGGCAGCCCCTCAAATATTGGAAGACTGCTAGCATGTCCCCCCTGGTCCTTCTTTTCTCTAGACTAGCCAAACCCAAATCCTGCAACTAGGCTGTTAATAATCTTAGTTGCACTTTTTCGAAAATCTCAACACCTTTTTTGTAATGTGGTGTCCCAAACTGGATGCAGTATTCCAGATGTGGCCTTATTAAGGATTTATAAAATGGTACTAATATTTTACTTGGTTCTGATTCTATGCCTCTGTTTATACAACCGAGGATCGTATTCGCTTTTTGGGCGGCGGCTGCACACAGCTGGCTCATGTTTAAGGGATCGTCCACTAGGACTCCAAGGTTCCTCTCACAGTGACTGTTTTTGATCCAGGTTTCACCTAATCTGTATTTGTACCTTTGGTTTTTCCTGCCTTGGTATTCTTCACATTAAATTTCATGTTGTTGGATACGGCCCATTGTTCAAGTCTGTCAAGAACTTTTTGGATCCCGAGCTTGTCTTCTGAGGCTATTCCTGCCAGTTTAATGTTGTCTGCAAATTTGATGAGTTTTCCTTCTATTCCCTCATCTAAGTCATTAATGAAGATATTGAAGAGTATTAGGCCTAAGATGCATTCTTGTGGTACCCTGTTGCTTCCTTCCTTCCATGTGGATGTAGTACCATTAAGGACTACTCATTGAGGACAGTTTGTCAGCCAGTTACAAATCCATCTGCTGGTGATGCTATCTATCCCACATTTTTCTAGCTTACCAAGAAGTAGGTTGTAGTCTCCTTTGTCAAATGCCTTGCAGAGGTCTAAATATACTATGTTCACAGCATTTCGCTGGTCTACTAATTTAGTCACTTTGTGAAAGAATGAAATAAGATTGGTTTGGCATGATCTGTTTTTAACAAACCTGTAGTGGCTTCACAATTCACAATTCACAAGGCAGAGCAAAAAATGTTGTATTATTAAGCACCAAGTTGAGTTTCAGGCATATTGGGGGGAAAAGTAACATTTCCAGATCTTTATGATAAGATTCCCTTGATTATGTAAAGATCCATTGTGATAAAATGTATTTTGGGAATTGTTGGGTTGACTGGATTTTGGATATAGAGATTAAAATAGTATTTCTCAACTTTAGTAACTTGAAGATGTGTGGACTTCAACTCCCAGAGTTCCCCAGCCAATTCTGGGAGTTGAAATCCACACATCTTCAAATGGTCAAGATCGACAAACACTGGATTAGAGAGGCAGGATTACATGGAGTTTTGACCTCTATTTTTTTTCCATTTTTCTAATCTGGACATTGTGATGTGGACAGTGAAACTCAAACAAAGGTTTCATTCCTAGTTGCCTTACCTGTTTTGACATGGTGTGATTAAAGTTAGGACTGTCCCCACCTGATATGTGACAGCCGGTTGGGTGACTTTGGGCCAGTCCCTGTCTCTCTCAGCCCAGCCCACCCCACAAGGTTGTCGTTCTGGGGAAATTAGGAGGAGGAAAGAGTTTTGGGATGTTTGCCACCTTGAGTTGTTTACAACCCCCAGCCTTGGCCTTCTGAAAGGGCTTGAAAACCTGGTGGGGGGGGGTTGTCCCATTTTGGAGGTGGTTAGTGGACCAGGAAGAAGATCCAACCTGTACTCCAACAATGCATTGGTTCTTTTTATCCAATCTAATATTAATTTTAATGTTTTAACTTGTTGACATCCAAAGTTTTAATGACTTAATCCTATCCTTGTTTTATTCTGTGATTTAGGGTATTATAAGCCCCTTGGTAGAAAGATGGGAGGCATAATCAATCAATAAAACAAAATAAGGCAAAATGCAATTCAATACAATGAAATAAAGTAAAATAATAAAATAATAAAAATAAGGTGAAATAAAATATAAAATAAAATAAAAATAAAATATTAAAATAAAACAATTAAATTAAATTAAATTAAATAAAAAAATAAAATAAAATTATAATAACATAAAATAATAACATAAAATAATAAAATAAAATAATAAAATGCATGTCAGGAGCAGGAATGGCTGGAGGGGGGGGCGGGGGAGGAAAATGGGGCGAGGGGGGCACCTGGCAATCTGAAAACCGGAATTTTTCCGCCGGGACCTCCTGAGCATCCCTGCTTGCCAACCTCCGAGCGCCGCCTGGTGGGATAACGCAGTATTGCCGGGACGCCTCCTGGTCCTGATGCTGCGCGTCGGCCGCGAGGGAGCGGGGCGGGGCGGGGGGGGGGGGGGGGGGGCGGGAGAAGGAGGCGCTCAGGGCGGGGCGGGGCTGGCCGGGGCGCGGACGGTCCGCTCCGCTCTCCTCCTCCTCCTCCTCGTCTTGCCAAGAGCCGGGGCAGCGCCGCGACCGCAAGAGCCATGCTCCGCTGCCTGCTCCAGCGGGCCTGCAGCCTGCCCGGCTCAGAGCGGGGCGACAAGCGCAGCGACCCGGTGGCCAGCCTGACTTTCCGAGGTGAGTCGCGACCCCGCAGCACTTGGCGCCCCGGGGGACTCCGTCCTTCTCCCGGACGGGCTGGCTTGCGAAGGGCAGCAACTAGCGGGCATTCTCTCCGGGTTTTATTACGATTCGTTCCCTCTGGACTCCAAAGCCCATCATCCCGACCAGGGGCCCTGCCGGGTGGGTGGGGGGGAGGAAGGGTGAGAGGAGGGGAGCCCTATGAAGCGAAAGTTCGTTTTAATGTGTGCCGATTAGCGTACATTCAAAGTGGCAATAAAGTTAGTCGAAGTGGCATCCCAGCAGATGCTTGGAGGGCTCCAGGTTGCAGAATTGGGTGATGAACCTGTCAATCAGTCAGTCAAGAACTTTGATTTGGCTCCGGGCCTTTGCTGGTCTTGATCTTTTCATCTGGTTTTAGTAGTGACTTGATTTCCTAGGTGGTTCTAACTTTTGACTGGGAGCCGCTCAGAGTCGGTTGGAAGGTGGGCAGCTCTATAAATGTTTTAAGTAAAATCAGACACTCATTCATTCAATCAATCAATCACATAGATATCCTGTTTTGCCTGTGCTATGGAGGGACCGGACGGGAGGGTGAGAGCAGCTGATAGTAAGGAGATAGTAAGAAGAAGGCGCTTCTCCCTCTTCAATGGACAGAGTAGGGGGGTTATGCCAAGCCTCCTACCTCCTCTTCCCCCTCCCCCTCCCCCTCGCCCAGCTGCCTTCTCTGCTCCAAAGAGGGCCATTGAATTCTCCCACGAATGCTGCCACCCGAAGGCTGTGCCCCATGGGTCCTGCTAGAGAGCAGCAAGTGTGCATGCAGGCAGCAGCTGCCATTGTGACTTGTGCTGGTATCTTTTATGGATTTATGGAACCCTCCGCCTGATGGAATCCCTGCCCTCCCTCCTCCCTCCTGAGCCTCTCAGGGTCTGGTCAAAAAAGAGAGTAGCCATGATATGGCCATCATAGCAGCCATGATGGGGCCATCAAAGCTCTGAGGGGTCCTTGGTGCTCTTTGAATTGGCTGTTTTCTTGCAGATGTTTCATTACCCAAAGTAGGTAACATCATCAGTGCTAACTCTAGCCCTGATGATGTTCCCTAGTTTGGTAATGAAACGTCTACAAGAAAACAACCAAGCTCAGAGAGCACCAAGGACCCCTCAGTCTTCCTCCTCCTCTCCATAAATCCCACTGCTTTCTAGCCCTGATGATGTTCCCTAGTTGGGTAAAAAGAGCCTTGGTGGCGCAGAAGACTAAAGTGCTATTAAGTAGCACCAGCAATTACTGCGAGTTCAAATCTCACCAGGCTCAAGGTTGACTCAGCCTTCCATCCTTCCGAGGTAGGTAAAATGAGGACCCGGATTGTGGGGGCAATAAGATGACTTTGTATAAAAAAAGAACACTGCTTAGGGGGGGCCGAAAACCCTACTAAGCAGGTAGATACAAAAGTATGAAGCCTATTGCTTAACGCATTGTAAGCTGCCCTGAGTCTCTGGAGAAGGGCAGCATATAAATCGAACCAATGAATAAATGAATAAATAAATAAATAAATAAATAAATAAATAAATAAATAAATAAATAAATAAATAAATAAATAAATAAATAAATAAATAAATAAATAAATAAATAAATAATGAAACGTCTGCAAGAAAAAAACAAAAACCAAGCTCAGAGAGCACCAAGGGCCCCTCATTTCAACCCTGAGCTACAAATATTTTCCTTGATTGGCATCAAAGCTCTGCATGGTTTTTACGGACATTGCCCTGTTGACTTTTTAAACTGTGTCCTGTGGGCGCGTCCACAGTCTAGGAAACAGGGTAGTCCAATTAGGTCCAGGGGCTTCAATTCCCGCAAGGTGGGTTTTGAGGGTCTGTTAGGGGAAACGGATGGAAAGCAGTTCGAGATCTCGGAAGGAAAGCAAAGAATGTCCTAGCAGCTCCTGGAGAGACCGCGATGGAGTGAATTTGTCAGAAGGAACTTGGCTTTGTGGTGCTCACCACCACCAGACCACCCAAAGGCAAGATCTCCAATGCTTTTCTTTTTTCCTGGGGCTTCGGCTCAGCTCTGGTGGAGACACCTGGTTGTCCTCCTTTTTCTCCTGGGCTCCAGAAGCTGCTGAGACTTGCTCAGAGGAGGTATCCCTGGCGTACGGCCTCCGAGGAGGGATGGCAGAGGTCTTCTCCTTCCAACCTTGGGAAGAAGCTGGCTGGGACAAATGAGCTCCAGAGAACATGGAAAGGAGGCCAGGGTGGTGGTGGTGGCACATTTGGGTCCCATGAAGGATTCCTGGTCTTGCATGAAGAAGACCAGCAGATGTTATGCCAGCTCTGGTTTCATGCAAGCCATGGCAGCAGCTTGGCTCACTTGCTTGAATCACCGGCAACAACCAGGCTCGTCAGCCGCTCTGGTGTTCCCTCCACCTGGGAGACCTCTGACACAACTCTTGAATCAAAGTCAGACAGGCAACAATTCAACAGGTACAGAGAAGCTAAAGCTTCCCTGAGGATCAATGCAAGAAGAATAGAGTTAGATTTTTTTTTTTTAAAAAAAAAACGATTTCTTCATACCTACTGTTTTAAAGAGAAATTTGAATTTAAATGTAGACATAAACAGGTTTGGAAGAGAAAGGAAGAAAGTGTCAATAGGCCAAGCCAACTCAATGAAGAAAAGACGGAAGGAGTGAAAGTTTTTGCATCCACAGGCTCCAAATGAAGGAACGCATCTCCTTGGTCACAGAATAGCAGAGTTGAAGGGGACTTTGGAGGTCTTCTAGTCCAACCCCCTGCTCAGGCAGGAAGCCTCTACCATTTCAGGTGTTGGAGTATTCACAACTTCTGGAAACAAAATATCAAAGTGCAGAGAGACCTGAGAGACACCCAGCTGGTCTTGTCTAGCTCTGATTATCCTTGTGTAACGTGTAGTTGTGCCCGCTGCAGGAACGGAAAGACTAAGGAAGAAAAGTTGTTGCCTTTAATTGTGGTACTGAGGAAATTTATGGAGAACAGAGGAGCTCATCAGAAGATCAAATCATTTTGCAATACCGGGAGGAGGTCTGCAGGAGGTCAAAAAAGTCAAGATGGCAGCAATGGCCGTGGGATCAATGCTCTCTGTGGCACCAATAAAGAGAAATAGGGGTTCAGCTGCAATGGTTTTGGTTGCCACCTCTGCAGACACCCCCAAATGACATAAACGGTCATCTAAAACCAGCCTGCTGCCCAGGATGAGTCTTATCTGAAATATTTGGGGCACTTCATGAGAAGACGTAGTTGAAGAAGACCTTGATCCCAAAAAGGGGGTGTTGATACAAGCAGGAATGGAGAAGGTCTCCTTAGGGACGTCCCTGAAGGCCAGTCTGGGAGACATGAGGGTCCTCAGACCAGAGAGAGACCAGGACTTGATGGAACAACCATACCCATCTTCCTGAACCTTCGAAGATGGGGTGTCCTTGACTGATGGTTGCGTCCATTGATGGACCAGGGTGATTTGGAGAGAGGAAGGGAAGGGGAAACAGGCATTCTCTGCAGTGCATCTGATGCTCTTTTGGGGGGGGGTGTCTCCCTGTTCCTTCCCCTTCCTGAACATTGCAAGTTGTCTTCCAGGGAGGGTCTCTGTGTTAGGTTTGCTGGGTCCTTCTTAGGGGTGTTGCAGGAGCCCCTTTGTTTAGAGAAAAGCCAGTGGCCGTTAGGGGAGGGAAAGTCCAACGAAAGGGGAAAAAACGGGCATTTCGTTTTTGTTCGTTCCAGAGCAGGAGCCGATGTTTTTTCAGGAAGTGGCGTTCAAAATCCCAATCTTTCTCATCTTCCAGGGAGGGTGGCGAGGCGGGCCTCGTCCTTAACACGTTCTCTGATTAATCAGTGCCAATTTCCTCCAATTATGCGCCTTATTTGGTCTTTTAAAAAAACGGCTCCCTTGATAGCAGAGAGAATGTGAACACGGCCAGGCTGGTTTCCGCTGGAAGAATTCAGACTCTGGTTTGCAGCGTGAAGAGGCTCCAGGCTGCAGTTCTAAGATGTGAAATAAAGTGTTTTCTCTCCCTCCCTCCCTCCCTTTCTTTCTCTTTCCCCCTCTCTTCCTCTTACTCTCTCCCTCTCTCTCCCTCTCTTCCTTTCTTTCTCTCCTCCCTCTCTTCTTCTTCCTTTTCCTCTCTCTCCCTCTCTCTCCCTCTTTCTCTCTTTCTCTCTCTCTTTCTTTCTCTCTCCCTTTCTTTCTCTCCCCCCTCTTCCTCTTCCTTTTCCTCTCTCTCCTCTTTCTCTCTCTTTCTCTCTTTCTCTTTCTCTCTCTCTCTCCCTTTCTTTCTCAACCCTGCTCCCTCCCTCTCTCATTGTGGCTGGCCTCGCCTAAATCTTCTCCCTTTTAAGTGTAAATTTTAAATTTTTACTGTATTTTAAAATATGGGTATTTTAAATTATGGGTATCAATTCAGCCAAATTTATTGAATTCATTTTATTCGATTTTAAATTTTGTATATGTATGTGTTTTATTTCATGGCTGTTCACCGCCCTGAGTCCTTCGGGAGTAGGGCGGTATAGAAATTCAATAAAATAAATAAATAAATAAATTGTGTGTGTGTGTATGTGTGTGTGTGTGTGAGAGAGAGAGAGAGAGAGAGAAAAGGAGGATTATATTTATGTATTTATTTATTTATTAGTTTGATTCATATGCCGCCCTTCTCCTGAGACTCAGGGCAGCTTACAATGCTTTTAAGCAATAGCCTTCATACTTTAATGACCATTCAAACTTACAGCTGCACTGAAAGAAGTGGCCTATGGCCATTTTTCATACTTATGACCATGGTGGTGCTAGGAGCCATGGTGGCGCAGTGGTGAGAATGAAGTACTTCAGGCTAACTTACTGCTCACTCCAGCAGTTCGATCCTGACCGGCTCAAGGGCGACTCAGCCTCCTATTCTTCTGAGGTGGGTAAACTGAGGACCCAGGTGGTTGGGGGCAAGAGGCTGACTCTGTAGGGTGCTGAGAAGGTATTGTGTTGGCTCTACTCCAGCCTTACTCCTAAATGTTAACTAATAGAAGACATTTAGCAAGTCTCCTATTGGCTCTGCCTGAGCCCTGCCCCTTATCTTAGCAATAGCTCTTGTATGCTGTGCCTGACAGCCGGCTCTGGTTTTCTACATTGAAAGCCCCCCCCCCCCCCCCCAATCTTCACCCTCCCTCTTCCTTTACCTTTGCTAAGGAGGCTTTGCACACACACATCTCCTCCCTCCCCCCCTCCCTTTTGAGTTCACGCCATGCATTGTCACAACAAATGGCTCATCCACTGGATGGGATCCATACTTGGCGAAGAGATCTGCAAGAGATCCCAGGATGGTAAAGTAGATGAAGAGGTCAAAGACACTTTGCAGAAGGACCAACTCCAGATTCTCGGGGGTGACTGGGGTGAACAGCAAATGGGGGGTTTTTAGGCTCCTACCTCGGCAGGCATAGTTTGCAATGAGACAGATCAAGACCAGAAGATCGTTAAATTACAATTTATTAGAATATTCTGATCAAAGGGATTCTTCTCATTCAAAGAGGGAGCCCAGATCCCTCTTAGCTTGCATTCCATTTTATAGCTAAGAATCTGGGATCTTACTCTCATTCCCTCTCCCCCCACCCCCCACCCCCCACCTCGCATCTAAAACTGCAATCCGCATTTTTGAATTTCAGGTTCCTTTGTGCCTTGCAAAGAATGCTGTGTAGGTGATTCTCCCTGTAAAAATGCACTTCAGATCTTTAGAGGAAAAGAAAGAATGAGAAAGAAAGAGGAAGAGAGAAAGAGAGAAAATAGAGAAAGAGAAAAGGAAGAGAAGGAACGAGAAAAAAAGAGAAGGAACGAAGGAGAAAGAAAGAATGAGAAAGAAAAAGAAGGAAGAGTAAGGAAGAAGGAAGAGAAAAGGAGGGAAGGAGGAGAAAGAAAGAAAGAAATGAAGAAAGAAAGAAAAAGTGTATATATGTTCATGTGAACCCCCAACTAACTTCAACATAGAAGGAGAGAAGGGAATAGGAAGGAAGGAAGGAAAGAAGAAAGGAAAGAAAGGAAGTATATTTCATGTGAACCCCCAACTAACTTCAACATAGGAGAGAAGGAAGGAGGGAAGAGGAAGGAAGGAAGGAAGGAAGAAAAAAAGAAAAGAAAGTATATTTCATGTGAACTCCCAACTAACATCAACATAGGAGAGAAGGAAGGAAGAGGAGAAAAGGAAAGAAAGAAAGAAAGAAAGAAAGAAAGAATATGTGTTCATGTGAACTCCCAACTAACTTCAACATAGTTTACTGAGGTAACCCAAGTCCCTGGTTTTAACAGTGCTCTGGCCTCGTCCCCTTGGCCTGTGTTCACACAAATAACCGGCCCACCCCTTAGACCCTGTTGAGTTTGCAGGCAGTATGTCCGTCCGTCCGTCCGTCTCTTCCACCGCCTGCCTGAGTGTCGTCTTCTTCTCCCGAAGATCCCGAGTGCATTTTCCTCCGGGGGGAATGTTATGCCTGGCAAGGCTGAAACCTGAGATTCAGAAATGCGGATGGCAATTTCAGTGGCATGAGAGCCTGGGGTGGAGGGGGAGGGTGGAGGGGGAGGGACCAGAGGAATCCTGCAAGAGGAAGCCTGGTGGCCTGTCTGTCTCCCCCTCCTCCCCACCCGGATGAAAATAGAGACCCTCGGCTAAATGGGACCACCTCTATTTTTGCTCCCAACCTCTTTGGCAAGGCTGGGCAGACGCCTCTCCGCATTGCTGGAGACCCAAACCGGGTTCAGAATTGCATTCCGATCTTTGACCAGCCTAAGAGGAAGAAATAGCAGCCCCAACCCTGGGAAATAAGAACAAAGAAGAAACCGCAATGTAATTGTCCTAAGTAAAAAGAAAGTATTCAGATTGTTACAAGGGAACAGAGGGGGTTGGACTAGAAGACCTCACAGGTCCCTTCCAACTCTGTTATTCTGCTATTCACACTTTTATTATTTATTCATTCAATTTATTGGCCACCCATTTTTGTACGTTTAGTCTTTATATGCTCCTAGGGAGATGCTGGTGATGATCAATTCAGTTTATATTCCTCCTTTAGAACGGCGGAAAAAACCATGGCTACCAACCTGCCTCCCATGGAGGACCTGTATCCTGCATGAGTCAAAAAGGGGGCTGGGAAAATATCTACAGACCCCTCGCATCCTGCATATAAACTCTTTTAACTCCTACCCTCAAAATGATGCTATAGAGCACTGCACACCAGAACAACTAGACACAAGGACAGTTTTTTCCTGAACGCCATCACTCTGCTCAACAAATAATTCCCTCAACACTGTCAAACTATTTACTAAGTCTGCACTACTATTAATCTTCTCATCGTTCCCACCACCCATCTCCTCCCACTTATGACTGCATGACTGTCACTTTGTTGCTGGTATCCCTACGATTTATATTGTTTTATTTAATTTCCTAGTATGATTTTGATTGTTTATTTAGTATCCTATGACTATCACTAAGTGTTGTACCTTATGATTCATGATGAATGTATTTCTTATGTACACTGAGAGGGTATGCACAGAAGACAAATTCCTTCTGTGTCCAATCACACTGGGCCAATAAAAAAATTCTATTCTATTCTATTCTATACGAATCCACCCTGCAAGTCCTTTGAAACACATAATGCTCTGCGTCTCTTCTGGGAAACGGCTGCAGAGTGACCATATATAGCTGCTGTCAGTTCAGTTGCCGGACTGGGAGGAGAGGGGGAGGGGGAGGGGGAGACGAAGGGGGGAGGGAGGGTCCGGCTGCAGCTGCCCCAGACGAACCTTCCGCCAGCCTTTGGCCCTGGAGACCCTCCTATTGTTCTGGGGTCCTGATTTAGGAGTCACTTCCTTTTCCTCTGGGGTGTTTGAGCAGCGCCCGGCATTGGCCGAGGCTCTTGGCCCAACCTCCCAAGGGACTCTGCGTGTTTTGGCCTGGCTTAATTTATGGGCTAACAGAAGGAAATATTCGGCACGCCAGAGCAGCCCAAGATAGAATTTGGAGCAACTGCCAGATAAGCTGAGTTAACCCTCTCCAAGCACCGGTTTCCAATTCAGACAAAGCTCGTCCAGGTTCCACCTGTAACCAAGGGGTTCCAGATGGCTGGACGATTGCATCCAAGGCCCCTTCCAACTCTCTTCTGAGTAATTGATCCAGTTTTGGTCACCAGGTTACAAAAAAGAGGTTGAGACGTTGGAAAACGTGCAGAGAAGAGCAACTGAGATGATTAAAAGCCTGGAAACAAAAACATATGAAGGACAGTTTCAAAATTTGGGTTTGGCCAGTCGAGAGAAAAGAAGGACTCGGGGGGATACGATAGCAATCTTCCAGCATCTGAGGGGTTGCCACAAAGAGGAGGGGGTCACCTTATTCTCCAGAGCCCCTGAAGGCAGGAGAAGAAACAACGGATGGAGACTAATCCAGGAGAGAAGCAACCTGGAATAAGGGGGCGTTTGGTTTAGCCTGTCTAGTGGTTAAGGCATCAAGTTAGAAACTGGGAGACAGTGAGAAACTCTGTAATTCAGGGTTGAACTGTGGGGTCCTTGGTTCCCTCTGAGCTTGGTGGTTCTCTTGCAGACCTTTCGTGACCCAGCTAGGTTAGATCATCAGTGCAAGAGGGGAGTGGGGTTTGCAGAAAGGAGGAGGAGGAGGAGGAGGAGGAGGAGGAGGAGGAGGAGGAGGAGGAGGACTGTGGGATCCTTTACGCTCTCTGAGCTTGGTTGTTTTAATTAATTTAATTTAATTAATTAAATTTATATGCTGCCCCTCTCCGAAGACTCAGGGCACCATATAAATATAATTAATATAATTAACTATATTAATAATATAAGCCCAACTAGGGAACATCATCAGTGCTAGAATGGAGTGGGATTTCCTCTCTATTTGCATACAAGTGGCTTGCCCTGTCAACATGGTTGGGAATGTTGCTTTCTTCTTGGTGTCAACTTTTGTTGATAGGTTGTGCTATGGGGATTTCTACAGATAATCCTTGATTTACGGCCGCAATTGGGATCAGAATTTGTATTGCTAAGCAATAACGGTTGTTAAGTGAGTCATGTTCAGCTAGCTCATGAACCAAATCCTTTGCTCTGACTTCCCTCCACCCCCGACTTCTGCCTGCAAGAATATTTTTTGGAACCAGCTGTTCCTGTGTGTGAGTGTGTGTTTCTATCTTGCTCACTTGCTCTGCTCTCTTTTAGGAGTGAAAAAGAGAACGAAGGTAATCAAGAACAACACCAACCCGGTCTGGAACGAGGTGAGTCTGTCTCCAGCGCCATTCGAACACAGATCGCAAAATGTGCAAGTTTGTCCTCCTTGCTCCAAGCAACCCGTTAAGCAGCAGGTCCATCCCTCTTAGGCAGGGAGAATGAGGTCCACAGGAAAAATTAAATTGTTACTATGCTCAGAGAGCAGAACTATAAAGAAGAAGCAATAATAATAATAATAATAATAATAATAAATAAATAAATATTATTATTATAATTATTATTATTACTCGGAACAGCTTACATCCTCCGACGATACCTTAACAGTTTCTAGGTCCTTGGTTAGGACTCGAGCTGCTGAGCTATTAACCAGTCTCAAAGGCTGTGAATCTCACCAAAGATTAACCAATAATAATAATAAAAGACAAGATCATATATTACAATTAGTCGTGGACTGTCTACATAATTTTGCAGACAGAATAACACAATTTAGTTACACTTTAGGAAATTACATTGGACGTAAAATTGAAGGTAAAAAGTTTGGGGTTTCCTGAGTATTTTATCAGGAAGTGAGTCCCTGGGTCCTTAGAGAAGTTACAGCATGTAAGTTACAGTCCTCGACTTACGACCACAAATGAGGCCAACATTTCTGTTGCCAAATGAGACCGCTTCGCCCCCATTTTACGTCCTTTCTTGCCACAGTTGTTAAGTGAATCACTGCACAGCACTACGTTGAGTTAGTAACCCGGTTGTTAAGTGAATCTGGTTTCCCCATTAACATTGCTTGGTCAGAAAAGGGGATCATGTGACCCCCACCCCCCGGGACACTGCGACCATCATAAATATGAGTCAGGTCACCTGGCATCCGAATTCTGATCAGGTGACTGCAGGGGATGCTGCAACGTAAGTGTGTAAAACAGTCATTGGTCACTTTTTTCATAAGTAACTTTGAACGGTCACTAAGCGAACCATTGTAAATAGAGGACTCCCTGTAGTAGGACCTGAGCTGTAAGTAAAGTGGTTTTTAACCATTTTATAAAATCGAAGTGGTTCCATCCCCTGAAATGCTTTTCGTTAAATATTTCCCCGCTGCAACTTCTGCCCTGCCCTTGGTGCTCCTGGGGAGTTGTGTGTTTGTGATAACTTCATAGGTTTCTAGATGCCCCCCGACCCCCAAACACCCCCCCCCCTCCCCAGTGTCAGTTTCTGTCCCCGTGGGGAAGCCAGGACTGTGAGCTTCCTCTCTTGATCACCCCTTCCTCTTCGTTCTCCCCCGGGAAAGGGAGCCCCTTCAACCCTTCAATGGAGACAATCGAGAGAGAAGTCTTTAGAACTAAATTAGGGTTTCCTTTGCAGGGCCACACCCTGACAATCATGCCTGTTTATCACACATCCTCTTAGGAGTAGGAAACTTTTAGGTAATCTGGATGGGAATCTGGGTTGTTGATTAAATTTCCTTGAGGGGGGAGGAGAAGGAAATCGGTGAGCACCAAAAGTTTTGTCCGGAGCTGCATCCGGCACTAGGACGGACACCTGTGCTGCTTTCGGTGAACTGAAATGGGAAGCCTTTTGAGGTGACATGATAAGCAGTCTTCCAATATTTGAGGGGCAGCCCCAAAGAAGAGGGGGTGCTCAACCTATTCTCCAAAGCCCCCAAAGGCAGGAAAAGAAACAATGGATGGACACTCCTCAAGGAGAGAAGCCACCTGGAATTGAGGAGAAACTTCCTAACAGCGAGGACAATTAACCAGTGGAACAGCTTGCCACCGGAAATCGTGGGGTGCTGTATCACTTGAGGTTTTTAAAAAGAGACTGGACAGTCACTTCTCTGAGATGGTATAGGTTCTCCTGCTTGAGTAGGGGCTGGACTAGAAGACCTCCAAGGTCCCTTCCAAGTCTGTTCTTCTGTCCTTGATTGGTTTCCATCCATTGCTTCTTATCCTGCCTTCGGGTGCCTTGGAGAATAGGTGGACCCCCTCTTCTCCGTGGCAGCCCCCCAATATTGGAATCTTATCTGCTTATCTTGTCACCCTTAGTCCTTCTTTTCCGTGTTGAGTTCCAACCCTATTGAGGATTGACCAGATCTTATGGGATGGATTGAGTCCTTTTGGTTCAGCATATGCTAAATCAATCAATCAATCAATCAATCAATCAATCAATCAATCAATCAATCAATCATCCTACTTCAGATTCAATTTCTGTTCTGAAGTTCCTTCCAACGTTTCTCCCGTCTTCTCTTAGGGCTTTGAGTGGGACCTGAAAGGTGTCCCATTGGACCAGAATGCTGAGCTCCACGTGGTGGTCAAGGACCATGAAACCATGGGCAGAAACAGGTGGGGCTCCCAGGAATATGTGTCTCTGTGTGTCTGTTGGAATTCATTGTTGGCATGTATTTTTATGCGACAACTACAGTAGTATTTAGCCAGTGGATGGCAGTGTTTACAAATTTGGATCTGTGATATATAGTATACTCTATGCTCTTTTCTTCTGAGTAGAGTTTCCTGTTTCCTGTTACAGTTAAATACCGGTAGTTGAGCAGTAAAGCACATGGTGGCTGTGCTCTTTGTTTGTTCTGTGTGGTGCTTTATGTAAACGGAATGCCTAATAGTGTCACAAAAAAATCAATATGGCGAACACCAAGGTGTGAACAAAGTTTCACTTGGAGGTTTTCTGTACTTTTCAGAGTTTATTAGCTGGTTCTCCCTTTGACCTAGAGTGTATTGAACTGTTTGCTTCTTACTTTGAAAATACTGTCTCTTGAGCATGTGCAGAGGGCACTCCTCTCACTAGGAGTTACCTGACCTGCTTAGAAGGATGCATTTCAAGACTATCGCAGCCACTGCTCAGCCTGCAAACCAGCAAAAGAAAAGTTTTTGACTGTACAGGTAGTCCTTAACTTATGGCCAAAATTTCTGTTGCTAAGCAAGTCATTGGTTAATTGAGTTTTGCCCCACTTTACAACCTTTCTTGCCACAGTTATTAATCAAGTCACTGCAGTTGTTAAGTTAATCACACGGTTGTTAAGTGAATCATTTTGATCACGTGACTGCAAGGGATGCTGAAACGGTCGTAAGTGTGAAAAATGGTCGTAAGTCAAATTTTCAGCATTGCTGTAACTGTGGTCACTAAACAAACTGTTGTAAGCCGAGGACTACCTGCAGAGGAGAAGAAACCTGATTCAGCTCAAGAGAAAGCAGAACTGTCTTTCTCCACCCGGGCAGGTTTAAGCTGTGTGGACTTCAACTCCTAGAATCCCCCCCGCCCCCCTTAGAAGTGCAATATGCAAAGGGCTGATTTAGCCAGGGTGCTGGCAGCTCAAGCAGGACCCTCTATGTTCTGCCCCAGCTACGGACCCCAAAGAACGCAGCACACACAAAGTCTGTACAAACCTTAGTTTACTAAAATAAATTAGTCTTTTTCAAACAAAGGCTGTTAATTAACTTTCTTATCCAAAGAATAAATAATCGTAATCTTACTATGGTTGGCAGAAAGCCCAGAAGCAATTTGCAGGAAACTGATAAGATCAGGAGGGGAAGGAAAGTGAACGAAGTTGTTCCCTGCAAATTGCCTCAGTCGTCGTCCTTCCTTAAATAGGCTAAGGGAGTGGCCAATTAGCCCCAAGCCTTACTCTCGAGGAGACCTCCTCCTGAGGAGCCACTCCTGCCTTTTGGCAGCTCTGCACGCCCGTGCATTGAGAAGAGGCTCCTCCTCTTCGTCCTCTTCACCCATGGAAGCTTCTGGAGGTTCTGAAGGCCCTGGCTGAATCCCCGCCTCTGGCACCACATCTTCTCCAGCCTCCTCATTGTCTGACTCGAGCGCCAGCTTCACAGGCTGCTGGCGCAGCACCACACCAGCCTCCTCACTGTCGGAATCAGCTACTAGCTGCACAGGCCGCTGACGGGTCACAACACTCTACTTCAGTAAGAGAGAAACCCACCCTAGGGACAAAATCATCACGTGAAGTCTTAGTACCGCTGTATAAAGCCACACCTGGAATCCTGCATCCAGTTTTGGCGCTCACATTACAAAAAATGCATTGAGACTTTGGAAAAAGTGCAGAGAAGAGCAACTAAGAGGATCAAAGGCCTGGAGGCTCAAACATAGGAAGGACGGCTGCAGGATTTGGGTTTGGCTACTCTAGAGGAAAGGTGGATTTGGGGAGACATGAAAGCAGTCTTCTGGTATTTGAGGGGCTGCCAGAAAAAAAGAGAGGGTCAATTTATTCCCCAAAGCACCAGAAGGCAAGAAACAAGGGAGGGAAACTAAACCAGGAGAGAAGCAACCTGGAATTGAGGAGAAACTTCCTAACAGTGGGAACAATTAACCAGTGGAACAACCTGCCACCAGAAGTTGCGGGTGCTTCATCACTGGAAGTTTTGAAGAAGAGACCGGACAGCCACTTGTCTGAAATGGTCTAGGCCTAGAGTCTCCTTCTTGGGCAGGGCATTGGACTAGAAGACCTCTAAGGTCCCTTCCAACTCTATTCTATTCTAACACCCCCTCGCTTCAAATGTGATGCCGGCATCACCTCTGTCCAATTCAAAATCTGGGCGTAGAATCCGCCGACAGCTGCCAAGACAGGAACTTAAAAATAGCCGGATGGCTCACAGGAGAAGCAAATATTCCCAGCAAGAGAAAGACTTAGCTAAGCTCTGGGGAATTTGGAAGGAGGCTCCTGTCCAAGACCTTTCCTTCCTTCTTTCTTTCTTTCTTTCTTTCTTTCTTTCTTTCTTTCTTTCTTTCCTTCCTTCCTTCCTTCCTTCCTTCCTTCCTTCCTTCCTTCCTTCCTTCCTTCCTTCCTTCCTTCCTTCCTTCCTTTATTTATTTTTCACATTTTTGAACCATTCATCTCCCTCAGAGAGGGACTTGGGGGTGGTGTCCAATCAAATGTTAAAATATATAAAAACAATGTACAAAAATGAAAAATTTGGAAGGAACGCTGCTAACATTGTTTTAAAAGGCAAAAAGAAAGTTGCAAAAACTCACCTGGCTCAAAACACTTGACTTCTCTGGAAATGGGTCATGAATTTGGACCTGAATTTCAGGAGAGTCAGCTGTGGGGGACGACACACAACACCTGGTGTGTCTGTGTGTGTGTGTGTGTGTCCCCGTCTAGCTGCAGTTTGGGTCAAATCTCTCCATCTAGGAAAAGTGGGCAAGAATGGGAATGGATCAGTAGTGGGTTTCAATCAATGTAACAACCGGTTTACTTCATGCTCCTCCTCCTCCTCCTCTTCAGAACCCCCCCTTCCTCCTAGCACTGATGATGTTCCCTAGTTGGGTCATGAAACGTCTGTAAGTATCAATTTTCGCCTGGAGAAAGTACAAACTTCCATTAAGCTAACTCATCAAAAGAAAGAAAAGTTTAACCAGAAAAAAAAATTCTCAATTGTCATGCAATACTCCTGGAAATATTTACCCACATTCACATTAAGGTTAATTGATACTTTAAAACTTTATATGTATTATATTACTCTCTGCAATTCTATCCATATTATTATATTTTTTTCTGTATTTTTTAATAATTTTCAATAAAAAATTAAAAAAAAAAAACGTCTGTAAGAAAGGCATCAACCTCAGCCCCCAGGCCCCCCTCATTTCAACCTCGGGCTACATTTTCCCTGCCACTTTGACTTTTCTTGACCGCCTGCAAAAGTTAAACCCGGTGCCAAAAGCTGGACCTTCAGACTGGACCTTCTCCCTGGGATCTCCCTTCCCAAAGCAAAAGAGGCAGCCCCTGGGTGGATGGGGTGGACCCGTCCCTTCTCCTGCTCCCGGGAACTCAGCCGGGGTGCGCCTCTTTTGGGGTGCTCCTTGGGAGAACCCCCCAGTCCCTCCAGCATGGCCGGGCCAAAGCAACAGGAAGAGCCTTTTTGGGGGGGGGGGGAAACGGCCGTCTCCGCTGAACAATGCCGGGAAGCGAGAAGGGAAGTGACCCCAGAAGGACCCAAGGATTCCACCAGACTCCTGGCCAGAAGTGACTCCGATCCTGACTTTTGGCCACGGCTGGAACACGAGCTGACAAAGTGTCCCGCGAGACTGTTTTTTCCCCTTCCTTTTCAAAGCCACTCTGAATAATCGCTTGTCAGTCTCCGTCTTGGAAAAATTTCACGTTTCCTGCCCAGGTTGGTTCCTCTTCAGGAGGGCCTATTTTTGGGATCTGGTCGATAAGCTGAGATTTGGGAGAATTTTTTTCCCCCTGTGCTTCCTGGCTTATCCCCATATCAGAGTTTCAGGCTGAAAGCAGAGAGTATTGGTGTAAATATATATACTGCATGTATGTACATATGTATATGTGTGTGGGTATACACATACATATATACAAATACACATACACACACACACACATCTGTCTATCTATCTATCTATCATCTACAGCAGTGTTTCTCAACCTTGGTAGCTTGAAGATGGGTGGACTTCAACTCCCAGAATCCCCCAGCCAGCAGCGCTGGCTGGGGGATTCTGGGAGTTGAAGTCCACCCATCTTCAAGCTTCCAAGGTTGAGAAACACTGATCTACAGTATCTATCTATCTATTATCAGCAGTTGAGACCAAAATTTCTGTTGCTGAGTGAGACATTGCTTAAGCGAGTTGTGCTCCATTTTACGACCTTCCTTGCCCCAGTTGTTAAGTGAATCACTACAGTTGTTAATTTAGCCCCACCGTTCTTAAGTGAACCTGGCTTCCCACATCGACTCGGCTTGTCAGAGGTTCACAAAAGGAGATCATGTGACCTTGGGACACTTCGACCGTCATAAATACAGGCCTGAATTTTGATCACATGAGCATGGGGATGCGTCAATGGTCGTAAGGGTGAAAAACGGTCATAAGTTGCTTTTTTCAGGGCCCTTGTAACTTTGAACGGTCACTAAACGTACTGTTGGAAGTCGAGGACTTCCTCTGTAGCCGGCCAACTCACCTGCAGTGACTTTCTTTCTGACAGGTTTCTGGGGGAAGCCCACGTGCCCCTCCGGGATGTCTTGTTCTCCCCCAATCTGGCTGCCAGCTTCAATGCCCCTCTGCTGGATGCCAGGAGGCAGAACACGGGGGTAAGTCCACCTTGCGGGTGACGGGGGTGGGGGGGCTCTCCTGGGAAGGAAAAGCCCCCTTTGCTGATGGTGGAGCAGGCTGGGGAATTCTGGGAGTTGAAAGTCCAGCCGGTGGAGAAACCTTGGTCTGGAGGAAAGAGGCCGGGGTCAGCAGATCAAAGTGGCTCTGGGTCTCCCAGGAGTTATGGGGGATGCAGTAGGACCACATGAGGAGGTCCATGGCTGGAGAAAGCCTTAATGCAATGCTTCTCAAACTTGGCAATGTTCTAGATATGATACAGATATGAAAAAAATACGGCTTTTATATAGGACAAACAACTTTTGATAAGACACTGTTGAGCTCTGATGAAAAATTAATTAAGAAGGTATATAACTTTTTGCTAAATTTAAAAACGGAGGATGAGCAAATAAAAAACACAATGGGACAATGGGAAAAAAAGCTTTGGCTATAAGCATGGCGATTTGAAGGTGGGTGGACTTCAACTCCCAGAATTCTGGCTGGCTGGGGAATTCTGGGAGTTGAAGTCCACCCACCTTCAAGTCTCCAAGCTTGGGGATCATTGTTCTAGAGAGCATCTAGAAGAGCACCGAGCAAGGGTTGGCTTTAATTTATTTTCCCTGCCTGACTCAAAGGTTCCGGGAAGGACCCTCTTATAACATCTTACGCTCCGTGAGGGTGACAGTTCCTAGGTCGCCACCTGTTTCATTTTAACGGCGGATGTTGCCTAGTTTCGATGGGGAATGGTGATTGCGTATGGTTTGCTTCAAGGTGGAGATCAGAGACGGGTTAGGTTGTTCGGTTGTTAACTGATTGGAAGGGCTGGGAAGTTGTTGTTACAATGGCTTTTCTGATTTGTGCAGTGCAGTGCGTAAATAATAAAAAAAACATCGCCATGAGGGAGTCGTGTTTTGGGAATTCAGGCGGAGGCTCTCTTTAAAGCAGCCGCATCAGCCTGAATGAAGAAGCAGCTGCTTTACAGAGGTCCTGGTTGCCCCAGCCTCTGGACCTAAGCCTCCTTTTGAGGGAGCATCCAGGCCCTTCATCCGATCCTTTCTATTTTGCAGGGGTGTCTGATCCTCCAAGTCTCCTACACGCCACCCCCGGGAGCAGCTCCTTTCATCCCTCCTCCGGCCCCTCCGGAACCAAATCCGACCCTCCCTGAGCTGGACACGGTGACAGGTAAGGAGGTGAACCATCCCAGCCTAACTCTGTCCCAGGGCAAATAGTATGCAGATGGAGAGGGTTGGAATGGACTAGAAGCTGTTCAAGCAGGAGACCCCATCACAGTGATGGCTAACCTTTTTGCCATTGTGTGCCAAAAGCGGGGGGGAGCGGGGGGGGGGGGGGCGGAGGGGGGCCAACCCCCAAAATCAAAATGGCCCCCCCCCCCCCCGCGCGCACGCACCCCCCCCCCCCACTCCCCCCACTTTTGGCATGTGATGGCACGGTGGGCCCAATAGGCCTGATTTTTGCCCTCCCCAGGCTCCAGAGGCTTTCTAGGAGCCTGGGGAGGGCGAAAATGGCCTTCCCCACCTCCCCGGAGGCCAGAAACTGCCCGTTTCCCGATTTCCGGTGGGCCCAAAAGGCCCAAAAATCAGCTGGCTGGTGTACGCATGCATGCTGGAGCTGAGCTAGGGCAATGCTCGCGTGCCCACAGATATGGCTCCGTGTGCCACCTGTGGCACGCATGCCATAGGTTCGCCAACACGGCCCTATAACATTTCTAACAAATGACTGTCCAACCTCTTCTTCAAAACCTCCAGGGATGGAGCACCCACAACTTCTGGTGGCAAGCTGTTCCCCTGGTTAATTGTCCTCACTGTTAGGAATTTTCTCCTTAATTTCAGCTTCCTTTTCTCCTTGTTTGGTTCCCATCCGTTGCTTCTGGCCCTGCCTTCAGGTGCTTTGGAAAAGAGGTTGACCCCCTCTTCTTTGGGGCAGCCCCTCAAATACTGCTCTCATGACACCCCTAGCCCTTCTTCTCATGCCCAGTTCCTGCAACCATTCTTCATATGTTTTAGCCTCCAGTCCCCTAATCCTCTTGGTTGCTCTTCTCTGCACTCTTTCCAAAGTCCCAACATCTTTTTTACATCATGGTGGTCAGCATAAGGCGTCTTTTTTCCTTTTGATTCTGCTTTGTAATGTGTCCTACCCCGAAGGCCAGTGCAGACCAGGAGCTGAGCAATGAAACTGTGAAGGGATCACCGGTGGCCGTTTCATGGACAAGTTGATGGAGGGAATTTTTGTGTGTTTTGTCACTGCTTTCCTCCAATCAGGCTGGCAATGCCTAATGGTGTCCCTGCCCTTTTAGGGCTCTGAACTGGGCAAATGTACTGAGTAACTGAAGCAAAGTCCCAAGGGAATTCGAGCTAAGGTTCCATCACGGCAGTGATGGATTTGTTTTCGTTAATCAGAATATCAGAATGAGAAGGAAATAGGAAGGAAATCTGGATGGAAATGCAACCCGCAAAAGAAAAAGAAAAGAAACAGATCTCGTAGAAATAGTAGTTTCTAAACCAAGCAACAGTGAAGCCAGGGATTTTTTTAAAAAAAATAAATGAATATGTGAAAAGATATTGGAGGCGAATTATCGTTTAAATACTATCTTGAGGAAAGTGGCAGATCTCTGCAATGCCGTGATTTTGGGATGTGGAAAGAGCCTTACATTGTTGGATTTGAACTATCTATTTTGGATTTCTTTTACCGATAAATATATTATATCTATTTTGAGTTACAAGGCAAGAGAGTCATGCTGGGGCATGCAGAAGATCTGGCTGTTACCCACTAAGATGATGGGGATTTATAATCCTGATGAAAACCACAATTACAACTATATGGAATATAATTATAATGTCACTCGGGTGGTTGTTTTTACTTTTATATATACATGAGGATATTCATTATTGATGGGGGCAGAAGATGACTGAAGATTTTGAATAAACTGTTGCACCAGGATGCTATGTTACCCTATTATGGATGACGGATTTAACAATCTAGTGGAAAGACATCAAAGAAGATACTAAATGAATTATAAATTTAAAGTTATTGTCTTTTCTCTTTTTATAAAATGGAATGTATATATAGATATATGTATATTTCAGCAGAGTGGGCAGTGGATTATATTTAGAATTGTAGTGCATGGTAATCTTGCAGGAAACTGGGTTGAAATAGGCTAGTTTAGTGATTGATTAGTTTAAGAAAAAGGATTTTTAAGTCATATATTTTGGGGAGTGGAAGAATTGGATAGAACTGAATAAATTTGGAGAAGGCTGCTTTGAAATGTTAAATTAATATATATAAAAGTAAAAGTTATGTTGTTGTAATAATAATAATATTTTATAAGTTTGGGGGAGGAGAAAAAGGGTAGATTGTGAAAAGCGGAGAAAAGCGGAGTTATAAGAATACTATGCTAAGGGTCAGTACTTTGAGGAGTGAGTAAGAGCATGGTAAAATATTATGTAATTAATTATGAATTAGCTTATTGTTGTGAAGAAGAAGTCACAGGGGGGGATGGGTGGGGAGGGCGGGTTGGGGAAGAAGGGAGGAAAAGGGGGAAAAACTTGTATTTGAAAAACTTTTTCAATAAAAAAAAAAAAAAGAATATCAGAATGAGAAAGTAACAGATCAGCAGAATATCAGAACAACCGAACAACAGAATAGCAGAACAGCAGAATAACACAAAATCAGAATAACATAATAACATAATAACATAATAACATAATAACAGAGTAACAGAACAACAGAATTTCAGAATGACAGAACAACAGAATAGCAGAGTAACAGAATGACAGAAGAATAGAATTGAAGGGACCTTGGAGATCTTCTAGTCTTTCCTGCTCAAACAGGAGATCCGATACCTTAAAATCAAATCCTAAATCAGATTGATCCGAAATATTCCCCCCCACACCTGAATTTCCCCCTGGCCTTTTTAGTCCCTGACGTTTGTCACCATCTTCCTGGCCATGCTTAGAAATTTAATCCCACGATAAATAAGGTCGTCTCCTTTGGTGTGGCTTTGCTTTGAGGGCAGTTTGTCAGCCGCCCTGGGAAGCCTGAGAGTAAACACCGTGAACCTCCTTCTCCGCAGACACAGGGGGAGAAGAAGAGAGCGAGGACCAGCTGGGCACCGAAGAGGAAGCCGAGCCTCCCGCGAGACCCTCCGCTCCCGATCAGCCTTCCTTGCCCAAAAGGCCCCCGTCTCACGTTCTTCCCGCAAGCAAGAGAAGGAAAAGCGCTTCCCGGAAGCTGCTCTCCAACAAACCCCAGGATTTCCAGGTAACCAACTTCGGGCAACATTCGTGAAGGTCTTGGGAGGTTCTGCCATCCATGCAGGTGTTGGTGGTGGCTTCTGCCCTTGATCTAAAGACGGTCTCTGCCCTCTTTCAGAAGGCAAATGGGGCTTCAAGCGGTGGGTCTGGATTAGAGTCTCATTGTTTCTGGAGAACATCTGCCGATACTTCAAGCTCCAGTGATCCAGCACGGCTGGATGCCCTGCAGACATTGCTAGATGCTTTGTGTTAGAGGGTGAAAAGGAGAGGAACCCATCCACATGTCCAACCAGTGTCTCCTTCTGCCAGCTAGGTGAAGGTCTAGGATTCCTTCTCGGTGGTTCTTTCATCCAGACAAACAATCAGGGAGAAAACAATACTCTAATCAAGGAACTACCAAGGAGGACACCACACCCTGATCAACACTGGCAGGGCAACTTTCTGCAAATAAACGGGGAGCAAACCCCACACTCCTTTGTCCTGATGATATTCCCCAGTTGGGTGATGAAATGTCTGCAAGAAAACAACCAGGTTTAGGGAGCACCAGGGACGCTACACTGGGGTTGATCACTAGCAAGGACCTTCTAATTAAGGGTTGGGGTTAAGGTAGTTCCTAATCAAGGAACTACTAAGAACACCCCCACCAATGCAAACAAGGCAAACCATTGGTGTATAAACAGAGAGCAAACCCCACTTCCCTCTAGCCCTGATGATGTGGCCTAGTTGGCTAATGAAATGTCTGCAAGAGAACAGTAAAAAACCCACAATCCCTTCCTCCTCTTCCTCTTCCTCCTCTCTTCAAACCCCACTCCTTTCTAGCACTGATGATATTCCCTAGTTGGGTGATGAAATGTCTGCAAGAAAACAACCAGGTTTAGAGAGCACCAGGGACCCCACAATCTTTCTCCTCCCCCTCCTCCCCCTCCCCACCTTCATATCCCCCTCCTTTCTAGCACTGATGATGTTCTCCAGTTCGGTCATGAGATGCCTGCAAGAAAATCACTAAGCTCAGAGAGCACCAAGGACCCCACAGTCCAACCCCGAGCTACAGATATTTCCTACTGCTTGGATCAAATAAGTGTGCTAAACACTGTAGATTTTGGTTAGAGAAAGAGGCAAACCCAAGGGCAGAATGCAAGGATCTCCAAGGCCTTTGGTTCCATTCTTGGTGGCCCTTCTAAGCCTTGGGACCTCCTCCCTTCCCCTTCTGCTTTGAGGTGAGGGCCCCGTTTGTCTGCCCTTGAGACCTTGATGGCCTCTTCTCTTCCTTCTCCTGTCCCTCCCCTTTCTAGATCCGGGTGCGGGTCATTGAAGGGAGGCAGCTCTCTGGGGTCAACCTCAAGTCTGTGGTGAAGGTGACGGCGGTGGGGCAGACCAAGAGAACCCGGATCCGGAAAGGAAACGGCCCCTTTTTTGATGAGGTGAGAAAAGAGTTAGGACTTAGAGTAACTTTATTGTCACTTTGAATGTACACTAATCGGCATACATTAAAATGAAATTACGTTGCATACAGCTCTCCAAGGGTCTCCGCCTCTAATATAAACATAAACATGACAGGATAAACAAACAAACAAACAAACACAAAATTATGCATGTACCCACAGTCTAATTTGGATGTATGCATGTACATGGCGAGAGAAACGAATCCTGTGAGTTTACCAGATGGATGGCCTAGGGAACAAAGCTGTTGCAAACCCATTCCGAGGTTAACTAGGAATAACAGAATAACAGAGCTGGAAGGGATCTTGGAGGTCTTCTAGTCCAACCCCCAGGAGACCCTAGACCATTTCAGACAAATCATATCACCCCTGGTCCTTCTCTTCATTAAACGAGACATGCTCAGTTCCTGCAACCGTTCTTTATATATTTTAGCCTCCAGTCCTCTAACCGTCTTTGTGGCTCTTCTCTGCACTCTTTCCAGTGTCTCCATATCTTTTTTTATAGTGTGGCGACCAAAACTGGATTCAGGATTCCAAGCGTGGCCTTCCCAAGGCCTTATAAAGTGGTATTAACACTTCACGTGATCTTGATTCTCTCCCTCTGTTGATGCAGCCTAGAACTGTGTTGGCTTTATTGGCAGCTGCTGCACACAGCTGGCTCATAGTTAAGTGATCATCTACTAGGACTCCAAGATTCCCTCTCACAGTTACTGTTTTTGAGCCAGGTTTCACCTAATCTGTACCTGTAGCTTTGGTTCTTTTTTCTTGCCTAAGTGTACAACCTTAGTTTTCTCTCCATTGCATCTCATCTTGTTAGATAGGGCCACGGTTAAGTCACGGGGCATCATGAGGATGCAACCAGTGGGCCTGAATGTGTTGGCAAACTCCATGAAGGAGTTTCATTGTAAACCCTGGTTGTGAGAATTGCTCCAACTCGTCCTGTGACTTTTTAAAACTTGGGTGACTTTGGGGGGGGGGAGCAGAGGATCCCCTGCCTGTGTGACTCTTCCTTTGGGGTGGGCTTCCTGGCGGGAAAGCATTTGTGGTGCAGCTGAGCTTCCCTCCACTCTCTGTCTCCTGCAGACCTTTTTCTTCAACGTCTTTGAATCCGCCATGGAGCTTTTCGACCAGCCCATATTCCTCACGGTAAGTGGGTTGGGGGTCCTTTCCCTTGGCCTACACGGAGAACGTATCATGGAGCCTAGGATGGACGTCTTCCTCTTAGATGCATGGCTCACATGTGACCCACACAATGGGAGGCCATGGCAGCTTTCTTTAATCGGGGGAGGCACATTCTCCATTTGTGAGAATTCACTCCCCCACCCCCAATTTCGTTTCCCATTTGTTTATTAGTTTTACAATCAAGGCGGTGAATAGAGCCAACACTTCCCTCTTTCTGTTTTCCCCACAACAGCACCCTATGAGGTGGGTTGGGCTGAGACAGAGGGAAGTCACCCAGCTATCTTTCATGGCAAAGGCAGGACTAGAACTCACCATCTCCTGGTCACTGGCCCAAAGTCACCTAGCTGGCTTTCAGGCCTAAGACAGAACTAGAACTCACTGTCTCCTAATGATAGGCTCAAAGTCACCCAGCCAGTTTTCATGGCAAAGGCGGGACTAAAACTCACCGTCTCCTGGTGATTGGTCCAAAGTCACCCATTTGGCTTTCATAGCAAAGATGGGACTAGAACTCACCGTCTCCTGTTCATCGGGCCAAAGTCATCCGTTTGGCTTTTATGACTAAGATGGTGCTAGATCTCATCGTTTCCCATTTTCCTTTTGCAAGGAAATCAGCCAGCTCCCTTTGAGTACCTCCAGATCCTCTGACTTCTTTTGCAAACTCACCAACCCTTGTGAGATGCCTCCAATGTTGCCCTGAAGTCTTGGGAAATCTCTGCCCAAGTTGGCTGGAAGTTCACGAGAGCTTGTAGGAGGACACCAAAAGCTTGCCACATGTTGGTGCGGACAAGGAGCATTGCTCTAAGCCAGGGGTCTCCAACCTCGGCAACTTTAAGCTTGGAGGACTTCAACTCTCAGAATTCCCCAGCCAGCTTTGTGGACTTCAACTCCCAGAATTCCCCAGCGCTGGCTGGGGAATTCTGGGAGTTGAAGTCCTCCAGGCTTAAAGTTGCCAAGGTTGGAGACCCCTGCTCTAGGCCCAAATGCTAAGCTCACCTCTGGGGAGACCCTCGAGGGGCAGCAGATCAGCTGGCATCTTAGGACACGTTGTTTCAGTGGAAGCTCATTTTTTGTGTCCCCTCCAGGTTGTTGACTCTCGTTCTCTCCGGACGGACTCTGTCATTGGAGAATTCCGGGTAAGTCATTTCCTCCCTAATCAGCTCTTTTGTTTCTCCAAATAATTACGAGAAAACTTTCTTGGACAGGCCTCCAGGAGTCGTGCACAATTGTCACCCTCTCTCTTTCCTGTGTCTTGTGCCGCACTGTCACAAAGACAAAGCAAGTAATGGCCACCCTCATCTGCAGAAACATGACAGAATATAGAATAATGGAGTTGGAAGGGACCTTGGAGGTCTTCTAGTCTAGTGGTCACCAACTGGTGGTCCGCGAGGGTCTCCTCCTTCAGGGTATTTTTGTGTGGGTCGGAGGGGGGCAGAAATTCTGACTTGGGGTCTGTTTCAGCCTCCTGGTGCTGGGCTTTGGGCGAAGGCTGGAGGGAAACGCCCTAAGGAGCTCGGGTGGGCAGGCGAGGAGTGGCTGGGAGGGGAGGGGCGAGTAGAGGCCATCGAGGCGCCCCTGAACGCGAGAGACATTGAGTGTCAGCACTTCAAGCTGCATTTACTCTAGTGCTGACATAAGAAGGAGAAGTGGAGACGTCTGGAAAGGGACGTTTGACTTTTCACCTACTTATTTTCCCTGGAGATAATATCCCCTAGGAGATGGGATGGGAGGGGGGAAATTCCTTTGAGCTGGAGCGGTAGATTAGGGGTAGAATGACTTGGAAGATGGCCAATGAGTGCAGGGGAGTTAGGGAACGGAAAGGGAGGGTTTTGGGTCCGGAAGTCAGTGTTGGCTTCGATGAGTCGGAGGTAGAATGTCATGCTTAATAAATGGGATTTTTTCTTCAAAGACTTTGTTTGAAATGCAATTTATTTGAGATGACCTCGAAACCTGGGGGGGTCTGGCTGTGTGTCCTGGGTGCGGGGGTGAGGACAGAGGGGTCTTCTGGGGAGCGGTGAGGTCCAGCCTGAGGGTCCTTGTGCTTATGTCTTCCAGGTGGACGTTGGAACAATTTATGCTGAACCCAGTGAGTGGAACTGAGGAAGGCTCATCCTGGGTGGAAATGAATGGGTTGCATTAGCAAGGAACAGACAAATACGGCGGAATGTCCTTATTACGGTTTACAATAAGATAAAATGATACCAATAGAAAGGGAAAAATGGAGAAAAGAAGTGTAGAAAGAAGAATAAAAGAAAGGGACAAATTCTGGGTTTTTTTTCCAGAGCAGCCGAATACAAAGAAAGTTCCTTCAGCAAAATGTCAGTTGGGGGCTGCATTGGTTGCTAGTTCAAGGGGGGGTCGTGACCTCCAAACAGTGGTGGGTTTCTAACCTGGATGTCATCACGGGCGCTCTGCGCATGCACAGAAGAGCTGTGCGTGAGGGTAGCAAATGTAAGTGGAACCCACAACTACCTCCAAACGATTCTTGAGCAGTGTTTCTCAACCTTGGAAGCTTGAAGATGGGTGGACTTCAACTCCCAGAATCCCCCAGCCAGCAGCGCTGGCTGGGGGATTCTGGGAGTTGAAGTCCACCCATCTTCAAGCTTCCAAGGTTGAGATTTAGAGACAGTCCTCGACTTACGATAGTTTATTTAGTGACCATTCAAAGTGACAACAGCACTGAAAAAAGGGACTTATGACCGTTTTTCACACTTCGACCATTGCAGCATCCCCCATGGTCGCGGGATCAAAATTCTGGAGCTCGGCAACCAACTCACATTTATGACAGTCGCAGTGTCCCGGGGTCACGTGATTTCCCCTTTTGCGACCTCCTGATGAGTCCATAGGGAAGCCGGATTCACTTAACAACCATGGTTCCTAACTTAACAACTTCAGTGTTTCACTGAACAACTGGTGAAAGAAAGATTGTAAAATGGGTCAAAACTCACTTATCCACTGTCTCGCTTAGCAACAGAGGTTTTGGGCTCAATGGTGGTGGTAGGTGGAGGACTACCTGTATTTATATATATTTTATTTTATTTAGTTAGTTAGTTACATTTACAAATAACTCAAGGTGGCGAACATACATACTGCTCCTTCCTCCTCCTCTTTTCCCCACAACAACAATCCTGCGAGGTCACTAAATAAATGGTTGTAAGTCCAGGAGTCCTTTTAAACTCTTATTATATGGACCAGGGGTCTCCAACCTCGGCCACTTTAAGACTTGTGGACTTCAATTCCCAGAATTCCTCGGCCAGAGGAATTCGGGAGTTGAAGTCCACAAGCTGGCTGAGGAATTCTGGGAGTTGAAGTCTTAAAGTGGCCAAGGTTGGAGACCCCTGATATGGACGATGCTAGATTCGTTGACCCAGAGCTCTAGGGGTAGCGTTCATTGCCAAATAAATGCCCCTCGATTCCGGAAAGGAAAAAGGAGCACGAATTGTTAATGTCAACCATTCCTTCATTTTACCAGACCGTTTTATCCGATGAGGTGGGTGAATCGTGGGGTATAAATGTGATTTAGGTCTCCTCCTCCTCTGCCCCCAGGGCACTGCTTCCTCCGGAAATGGCTGCTGCTGTCGGATCCAGAGGATTTCTCGGCCGGCGCCAGAGGCTACCTGAAAGTCAGCTTATATGTCCTCGGCCCTGGGGATGAAGCCCCCGTGAGTATTTCCATGAAAGGGGGTCAGACTTGGAAAAAGGGGATCCCCCCCCAAGCGGCCTCTCCTCCTTGGTGGAGGGGCCTTCAGGTAGGTGGCCTCCATGTCTCCCGGTGAGGTCCGCGGTGCAACAGAGGGGAGGGGGCATTCCGACCGGATGCCCCCTTCTTCATGGGGAAAGTTGGCTGACTTCAAGGAGTTGCCTCTTTGGAAGGCCACAGAAAGGTCCCCTGAGGGCAAGTGAGACACTCCAAATTCAAGGACAATCATAGAGTTCATCTCATACTGATCGCCCCTGGATCTGGCAGGCACAGACATGTTACACTGATAATGTTATCTAGTTCGGTAATGAAATGTCTGCAAGGAAACAACCAAGTTCAGAGAGCGCCAGGGACCCCATGGTCCTCCTCCTCTTCCTCCTCTCCCTTCCTCTTCCTCTTGCTCACCCTCCTACGCTTCCCCTCCTACCACTTCACTTTCACTTCCACTCCACAAATCCCACTCCCTTCTACCACTGATGATGTTACCTAGTTGGGTCATGAAATGTCTGCAAGAAAACAGCCAAGCTCAGAGAGCATCAAGGACCCCACAGTCTCCTCCTCCTCCTCCTCCTCCTCTTCCACCTCCCAAACCCCACTCCCTCCTACCTTTGATGATGTTACCTAGTTGGGTAATGAAACCCGTTGGGGCTGCAAGAAAACAACCCAGATCAGGCTTATTCAAAGTTCAACCTGACCTACAAAACATTCTCTTCTTTTGAAATGGGTAATATCTGGGTTATATAACCCACCCTGAGAAAACTTGCCATTCATTGAACACATTGTAAAAATGATTAAATTTGTTTTCAACATTGAAGAGCCCTGGTGACACAGTGGTTAGATTGCAGCATTGCAGGCAAACTCTGCCCACTGCGGGCAGTTCGATCCTGACCGGCTCAAAGCCTTCCCTCCTTCCGAGGTGGGTAAAATGAGGACCCAGATGGTTGGGGGGCAAGAGGCTGACTCTTTAAACCGCTTAGACAGGGGCCGGAGAGCATTATGGGGTGTTGCATCAGCCTACAATGCTAATATAATTCTATTTGAAATACATGCAAACGAAAAAGAGAAGAACATGATGCTAAGATGCCAAAGATGGCTTTGCAGTCTTCCCTCCCGTATCACCTGGGCTAGTAAAAAGGTCTCCTTGGGTGGAATTATCAGGGCCGGGAAGGAGGGAACCAAGCGGAGAAGGAATTCCAGGAGGGCCCCAGGTGTGCCTGAGAAGATGGAAAGGCGCCTGCAGAGAGTCGGGGGGTCCTTTAGGTGCCCCAGTCAGTGCCAAGGCAGGCGGGCGCTTCATTCGTCCTCCCACCCTCTCCACAGATGGAGAAGAAGGAAGCTGCCGAGGAGAAAGAGGACATCGAGGGCAACGTCTTCAAGCCGCCTGGCGTGGCTCTCCGTGGAGCCCACTTCTCCCTCAAGGTCTATCGAGCAGAAGACCTGCCCCAGAGTGAGTGGTGGGGTGGAGGGTGGCGAGGGGAGGAGATGCTTTATGGACTGGAATAATGGAAGTAAAACTCTGAAGGCCCCTTCCCCTCGGTTGTGGATGATGGGGTATCTTATTCAACATCCCGGAAGGCATCTGGTTCTGGATGGCTGTTGGGTCTGCTTTGTAAGAACAAGGACAAATTGAACAGAATTCGGTCCTTTTTCAAAGCGCGATTCGGACATTTTTCACGAATAAAGGCCAACCTCCATGGTCCCAGGATAATGTTGCAGGATCCAATCTGGGTTGGTCTCCGGGACTGGAGGTTTGGTCTTCCGGGCTTGTCAACCTGGAATTAAGGAGAAACTTCCTAACAGTGAGGACAATTAACCAGTGGAACAGCTTGCCACCAGAAGTTGTGGGCGCTCCATCACTGGAGGCTTTCAAGAAATGTCTAGACAGTCATTTACCTGAACTAGTATGGGTTCTGCTTCTTGAGCAGGGGGCTGGACTAGAAGACCTCCGAGGTCCCTCCCAGCTCCATCCTATTCTATTCTGCTAGAGAGAGAGAGAGAAGTTCCCTGAAGATGGGCTCCAGCATGAGTCTTGCATTGATGTGACAAGCTCGGAAGACAAAACCTCCAGTCCCGGTGACTGACCCAGATTGGATCAGATGGTTTTCTTTAACAAGATTTATTGACGCGAGAGGCTTAAGGTACAGGATCTCCCAGGAGGTGAACTAAGTTTCCAGTTAGAGGCAATGTATCTCAAGAGGTCTCCATGAGCCTCTTTCCCGTAGCCCCCTGGTGCCCCTGGAGGTACGTGGTTCTCCTCACTGAGGACGGGCAGCTTTGCAGCTGCTTCTTTACCCAACAGATGCTTGAATCTTTATATGTCAGAAAGCTCCTCCAGGTGGCTCTGGGGAAAATGGATTGGACAGATTCCTCTGCTCTGTCCAAATTGTTCTGAGCTGTTCTTCTCACTTCTAAGCTAGGCCTAGGCCAATGTGGGGCACCTGCAAATGGGATAAAGATTCCTGTAGGGGTCACCTCCTCATTCAAGGGATAATAGAAATGTTGATCAGGGAAGGATCCAGAACTCAACCCCCTGATTCCTCCTTTGATATTCCTGGTTCCTTAAGACGATGATGAAGAATACTCTATTCTATTTTCTGTCCTGTCCTGTCTGGTTCTACTCTACTCTACTCTACTCTACTCTACTCTACTCTACTCTACTCTACTCTACTCTACTCTCTTCTGTCTTCCTCCTCTCCTCTCCTCTCCTCTCCTCTCCTCTCCTCTCCTCTCCTCCACTCTATTTTCTATTCTGTCCTGTCCTGTCCTATTTATGACATATATACAAGTGGTTCTCAACTTACAACACTTCATTTAGTGACCGTTCAAAGTTACAATGGCACTGCAAAAAAGGGACTTATGACTGTTTTTTGCACTTAAGACCGTTGCAGGATCCCCAGGGTCACATGATCAAAATTCCGATGCTTGGCAACTGGCAAGGACTTACGATGGTTGCAGGGTCCTGGGGTCATGTGATCCCCATTTGCAACCTTCTGAAAAGTAAAGCCATATTCATTTAACAACCATGTTACCAACTTAACAACAGCAGAGATTCACTTAACAAGTATGGCTGGAAAGATTGTAGAATGGGGCAAAACTCACTTAACAAATGTTTTGCTTAGCAACAGAAATTTTAGACTCAATTCTGGTTGTAAATTGAGGATTACCTCTTCCTTCCTCCCACCCTCCCTCTCTCCCTCTACTTCCTTCCTTCCTTCCTTCCCTCCCCCTTCCCTCTCTCCCTCTCTCCCTGTCCTTCCTTCCTTCCTTCCTTCCTTCCTTCCTTCCTTCCTTCCTTCCTTCCTTCCTTCCTTCCTTCCTTCCTTCCCTCCCTCCCTCCCTCCCTCCCTTCCTTCCTTCCTTCCGATCCCCACCTTCCGGCCCCATTCACCAGCCTCTGCTCCCAGGTCCCTTCTAACCTCATGATTTTATCATTATAGTGGACGATGCGGTGATGGACAGCGTCAAGCAGATCTTTGGCTTTGAAAGCAACAAGAAGAACCTGGTGGATCCCTTTGTGGAAGTTACCTTTGCAGGGAAAACGGTACGTTGTCTACACCCCCCCACCCCTCTCCCCCCAGTGTCATTAACAGCAGCAGCCAAAAAAGCTAAGACGATCCTTGGCAACAGAGGCAGAGAACCAAAATCATGTGAAGTCTTAGTGCCACTGTATAAAGCCTTGGGAAGCCCACACCCGGAATATTCTGCATCCAGTTTGGGTCACCACATTACAAAAAAGAGGTTGAGATTTTGGGAAAAGTGCGGAAAAGAGCAACTAAGAGGATTAAAGGCCTGGAGACTAAAACATACGAAGAACGGTGGCAGGATTTGCGCTTGGCTAGTCTAGAAAAAAAAAGGGAGGGGGGACGACGACATGATAGCAGTCTTCCAGTATTTGAGGGGCTGCCCCAAAGAAGAAGGGGGTCAAATTATTCTCCAAAGCCCCTGAAGGCAGGAGAAGACTCAACGGATGGAAACTAATCAAGGAGAGAAGCAACCTGGAATTGAAGAGAAATTTCCTCACAGTTAGAACAATTAATCAGTGGAACAGCTTGCCACCAGAAGTTGTGAATGCTCCAACACTGGAGGTTTTTAAGAAGAGGTTGACAACCATTTGTCTGAAGTGGTCTAGGCCAGGTCTCCTGGTTGAGCAGGGGGTTGGACTAGAAGACCTCCAAGGTCCCTTCCAGGATTATGAGGGAAAGTCTTCTTCCTATTTCCTTTCCTAAAATCCTTGGGAGCTTCGTGGCCCTTTGGAAGCTCTGCCTAAAACTGGAGCTGTTTCCCATAAGGGATCTCTCTATGGCGTAGAAAGAGGGAATGAAATTCAAAGATAAATTAATAAGTGCGGGCATAAAGGCAGTCCTCGACTTACAATTGTTCATTTAAATATGATGTTTTTCACACCTGCAACGGTTGCAGCATCCCTCATAGTCACGTGATCAAAATTCAGACGCTTGGCAGCTGACTCATATTTATGACGACTGCTGTGTCCCAAGGTCACGTGATTCCCTTTTGCGACCTTCTGACAAACAAAGTCAACAGGGAAGCCAGATTCACTTAACAACAGTGTCACTGACTTAGCAACCACGGAGATTCGCTTAACTACTGTGGCCAAATTGGCCGTAAAACAGGGGCCAAACTCACTTAACAACGGTCTTGCTTAGCTACAGAAACATTGGGTTCAATTGTGGTCATAACTTGAGGGCTGCCTGTTGTCTTGTTTCCCAGTTGAGCCGGATTTCTGCCTAGGGGTGGGTAGTGGGACCCCCAAGAGGAGCGGAGAGGGGGCTCTTACTCATGGGTGTCTTTCCTTCCTCTGAGTAGCTCTGTAGCAAGATTGTGGAGAAGAATGCCAATCCGCAGTGGAACCAGATCATCACGCTGCCTGCCATGGTGAGACCCCAGAGGCCCCCCCGTCTTTTCAGCATCCTCTCTTTCCCCGAAGCCTCTCCCTGACCCGGCCCCTTCTGCTCTTCCCTGCAGTTTCCCTCCATGTGTGAAAGGATGAGGATCCGCGTCATGGACTGGTGAGTAAAGAGTGAGGAGCCAGGGATCGGATTCCGCCTGGGTCCCTCACTTATAACTCGATCCCCCCGTTTGCAAGGTTTGGGACAGGAAAAGTGGCCAGGCATCCTTGTTTCTAGCTGGGGGCTGCAGTTCAATCCTACCCTTTTTGTAAGCCCCCAAAAACCATGGGGATTCTGCGCAGTTTGAGTAAACTCCATTTCCTTCTAGCACTGAGGATGTTACCTACTTGGGTCATGAAATGTCTACAAGAAAACATACAAGCTCAGAGAGCACCAAGGACCCCCACAGTCTTTTTCTTCCTCCCCTTCCCCTTCCCCCTCTTCCTCTTCCTCCTCCTCCTCTTTCTCCTCTTCTTCTTCCTCCTCCTCTTCTTCTTCCTCCTCCTCCTCTTCCCCATGTTCCTCCTCCTCCTTCTCTTCCTCCTTCTCCTGCTTCTCTTTCTCCTCGTTCTCCTCCTCTTCCTCTTCCCCTGTTCCTCCTCCTCCTCCTCCTTCTCCTCCTCATGTTCCTCCTCTTCTTCTTCTTCCTCCTCCTCAGCCTCCACCTCCTCCTTTTCCTCCTCCTCCTCGGGTTCAGATTTTCCTCGCTACAAGAGTCCCAGAGCTACCAGGGCTGCAGGTTCTCCCATTGTGCTGAGAGCTTTGATCCTAGTGGGAAGGTATCGTGGCTAGCAGGGAACTGGGTCAACATTTTATTTTGCAGGGACCGGGTCACCCACAATGACATCATCGGCACCAGCTACCTCTGCATGTCCAAAATCTCTGCTCCGGGAGGAGAACTGGAAGGTGAGCAGGTTCAGAGGGCCCAGATTCCCCCGGCTGCCTTGGCACTTAGCTGGCAAGGTGGCAGATGGGAGCTTCTGTTGCCCGAGCGAGCCAACCTCAGGTTCCCCGGAGGCCAGAGGGAGTGGCTGATGGGCTCTCTAGTCCAGGGCTGGTGAGCCATCTGTGGAGACCACGGCAGGACCAAGGCAAGGCTCTTCCTGTGCTGTCCACAGCACTGAGTTGCGACCTCTGCGATTTGAGTTTTCCTGGGCCAGGTTCTTCCCAAGCAGTTGGACTGGGAAGAGGGCAGAGAAGAGCCACAAAGATGGTTAGGGGACTGGAAGCTAAAATATACAAAGAACAGTTGCAGGAATGGGGTATGTCTAATCTAGTGAAAAGAAGGACTGGGGTGATATTTAATAAATTTAATAAATAAATAAAATAAATAATAAATAAATATGAGAGCAGCCTTCCAATATTTGGGAGGCTGCCACAAGGAAGAGAGGTGCAACCTATTCTCCAAAGCGTCTGAAGGCAGGACAAGAAGCAACAGGTGGAAACTAATCAAGGAGAGAAACAACCTAGAAATAAGGAGCAATTTATTCAGAATTAGAACAGTTAATCAGAGAAATGGCTTTCCTTCAGAAGCTGTGGGGGCTCCCTCACTGGCGGCTTTTAAGAAGAGACTGGACAGCCATTTGTCTGAAATGGTAGAGGGCTGTCCTGCTTGAGCAGAGGGTTGGACTAGAAGACCTCCACGGTCCCTTCCAGCTCTGTCATTCTATTAAAAAGCCACCTCTTCATTTTTACCCATCTCTCAGATGGTCTCAGATGCCCTCTTCTTTAGCAGAAGCTGTGATGTACACCACCCAAAAGGACTTCACTTTTTCACTTTCCCCCCCTCTTTCTTTGTGCTTCAGATGAGTTTCCCGCCACTACGAAACTCCTCAAAGCAACAGACAGTATGTCCTTAGCATGACTCTCTCTCCCCCCACCCCAACTCCTGAGTGTATTTCTGAAACGAATCATATATTTCTGAAAATCATTTTGGAATCCAAATTGCAACCCTTGAATGCACGATGCACGTGACGTCAGTCGGGGAAGGCATGTGACTCCCTTGGGGTGATGATCATCATCAACCTTGCTTTGATCTGTAATCCCAGTTTAAATCCTCACTCGATGTGATTGTGCATGGCTAACTCTGCGAAAGAGGGAGATTTGGGGTTGATCTTTCTGAAGGGGCTGGGTGTCCTTTTCTCCTGCCATCTCTCCTGCACAATGTCAGCTTTGGAAGCCGTATGAGCCCGGAAGCTTCCATGCTGCCACCTTCTCCTGTGTGGGAAAGTGGGGAGGGGGGATTTAGTAGAGGGGTTGTTTGTAGACATAATAGCATTCTTCCTGTTGGTCAAGCTCAGGGCGATCTTGCATCTGGAGAAGGAGTGGTCGGAGTGAGGTCTCGAGATGGGACGGTGGTTGATTGGAGCATGTGATCGACTGAGGACTGAGGGGAAGGTTTTGGGGGTTTTGATTTACTGAGGGAAAACCCGGACCTCTCAGATTCAGGTTTTCCCAGATGTGCCAGTTTACCTATTCTAGTAAATGGAACTTTGAAAAATGCTGGCTTCTGCGTCTTTCCTCGGAGTTGGGGTTTTTCTGGAACGCTGACACACAATGTGTCTCAGCTTTGATGACTTGAAGATGGGTGGACTTCAGCTCCCAGAATTCCCCAGTCCAACATTGTAGTTCTCTCTTGCTTCTTCAGCGTTTCTCCACCTTGGCAGGTAGAGAAGATGGGTGGACTTCAACTCCCAGAATTCCCCAGCTAGCTTTGCTGGAAGTTGAAGTCCACCTGCCTTCCACTTGCCAAGGTGGAGAAGCACTTATGGAACAGGATGGACCTTTGTGCAAATATAGCATGAGAAAAATACTCAATCTGGGAAGTTGGCTGCAAATTTATCTGGTTCTGGTGAAGGGATCTCCAAACCATGAGTGTAGTCATTGAGTTTCTCTACTGGTGGCCTTCTGAGGGTGGATACCTTGCTTTGATTGCTAGAAATCCAGAAGGCAGGGATCACGGTATGGATGTGAGTAACTCACATCCATAACTGAGAAAAAATGGCCAGCATGTCCCTTCTCACCTGGGTTTAATGTCATGAGTTGAAAAAAAAAATACAAGGATTTCTTCTCAATTCAAAAGATTCAGAAACCTCCTGCTTCTGTTTGGGTAGAAGAAGATTTGGGTGGACTCTAAAATAGGTTATTTCAGGTAGACAATGGTCTCCGTAGTTCCACCTTCATGGGTTTCTTTCCACAGTTGATGATGGTCTTGGCTTCCTGCCCACCTTTGGCCCCTGTTACATCAATCTCTACGGCAGTCCGAGGGAGTTCACCGGCTTCCCTGACCCTTATGAAGAGCTCAACAGTGGCAAGGTGAGACAACTCTTCTTAGTAGCTGGCGTGCAACCCTGGAGAAGCAGTTGGGTTCACTCAGTTGGCCAAGTTGGAAGCGAGAGCTGGCTTGTGTGAAGGGCGGGGGGACCTTCTCATGGGCTCATTCTTATATCCCAAGGGAGAAGGCGTGGCCTATCGTGGCCGACTGCTGGTGGAGCTGGAGACCAAGCTGGTGGATCACGTTGAGCAGAAGTTGGGGGACATTCCTGCTGATGACATCCTGAGAGTGGAGGTAAAGCTTTCATGCCGTAGACCTCCTGTGGAGATGCCATGGCCATTAACGTCTTCATCTTCTTTTCAGTGAAAGGGGGGTGTATTCTTAAGTGATCATCTAGGGCTGGGGTCTCCAAACGTGACCACTTTAAGACTTGTGGACTTCAACTCCCAGAATTCCTAGGCTAGCAAAGCTAGTCCACAAGTCTTAAAGTGGTCACGTTTGGAGACCCCTTCTGTAAAAGATGACGAGGCTGAGGCTGGTGGAGTCAAACACACCATCAGTTTAGAGTCTCTACGCCCCCATAGGAGACCTAAGTCCAGGCTGCCTTGAAGCCTGTTGACTCTTCTCTGCTTGACCGTTAGTAGATCAGATTCTTGTGTCCAGGAAGAGGGACATAAACTAGTAGTGCTTTTAATGTCTGTCCTGGTTCCTGACTTCTTGCACCTGCCACTAAACCGCTCCCCCCCACTGGACTTCTGGAAGAGCCCTGACAGGGACCAGCTACATTGGGGGTGGCTGATGGGGCAGAGAGAAGACCCTCCCCCCCAAGCTGCCAATCTTTGGTTTTTAAATTTTAACATTTTTATTCTCATTTTAATGGTGGGGTTTTTTTTAAAGCACTTTTAAACTTTGTGTTACAGCTAGTCCTCGACTTATGACCACAATTGAGCCCAAAACTCCCTGTTGCTGAGCGAGACCGTTGTTAAGTGAATTTTGCCTTGTTTTGCAACTTTTCTTGACAACAGTTGTTATGAGAATCACGGTGGTGGTTTAGTTAGTCGGACGGTTGTTAAGTGAATCAGGTTTCCTCATCGACTTTGTTTGTCAGGAGGTCGCAAAAGGGGGAGCCTCACGTGACCCTTGGACACTGAGACCGTCATAAATATGAGTCAGTTGCCAAGTGTCCAAATTTGGATCCCCTGACCCCAGGGATGCTGGAACGGTCGTAAGTGTGAAACACGGCCCTAAGTCTCTTTCTTTCCAGTGCTGTTGTAACTTTGAGCGGTCACTAAGCAAACTGTTGTAAGTTGAAGGCTACCTGTACAAATCCCAGTAGTGGCTCTTAGTCCAGACTGGAGTATGTAGGGTGGGCTTCTCCAAGAATGACCCCCCTTCTCTTGTCTTTTTCAGAAATACCTCCGTCGGCGGAAATACAACCTTTTTGCCGCCTTCTACTCGGCCACCATGCTGCAGGGCGTGGGTGACGCCATCCAGTTTGAGGTCAGCATCGGCAACTACGGAAACAAATTTGACAACACCTGCCTGCCGCTGGCGTCCACCACGCAGTTCAGCCGGGCGATCTTTGATGGTAAGGAAGGAGGTGGGAGCCACAGGCAGGTGGACCACGGAGAGCAGAACCGGAGATCGAATTCGGGTGGGTCACCAGAGATTTATTCTGGAACGGGAGATCTTTGATCTTGTGACTCCTGGATGGGATGGCGTGCTTATCGTGATCCTCCCTTCTCAGCTGGGCCTTCTTCAAGGAAGAGAAGATCTGAAAATTACAAAACTCTTGATCCATCCTGAGGGTGTTCATGGATTGGTAGGATGGTGGGCTTGGAAGGTGCCTGGAGCAACATCTAATCTGATATTTGTCCACCTTGGCGACTTGAAGATGGGCGGACTTCAACTCCCAGAGTTCCCAAACCGGCTTTGAGGTCCACCTATGTTCAAGATGCCAAGGTGGAGAAACATTGGTCTAATGAAAGTGGTCATGCCATGGTGACAGGCTTCACTGACTCAATTCTGTATATATTTGCATTTTTATATATAATATTTTATATAATATTTTATTATATCTCTATCTCTATCTCTACCTCTAATCTCTACCTCTACCTCTAGCTCTCTATCTATCTATCTATCTATCTATCTATCTATCTATCTATCTATCTATCTATCATCTATCCATTCATCCATCCATCTATTATCCATCCATCGTCTGTCTGTCTGTCTGTCTGTCTGTCTATCTAGCTATTCATTCATTCATCCATCCATCATCTGTCTGTCTGTCTGTCTTTCTATCTATCCATTCATCCATCCATCTGTTATCCATCTATCCATCACCTGTCTGTCTGTCTGTCTATCTATCCATCCATCCATCCATCTATTATCCATCCATCCATCGTCTGTCTGTCTGTCTGTCTGTCTGTCTTTCTGTCTGTCTGTCTGTCTATCTATCTATCTATCTATCTATCTATCTATCTATCTTATCTATCATCTATCCATTCATCCATCCACCTATTATCCATCCATCCATCATCTATCTATCTATCATCTCTCCATCCATCCATCATTTATCTGTCTGTCTGTCTGTCTGTCTGTCTTTCTATCTATCTTATCTATTATCTATCCATCCATCCATCCATCTATTATCTATCTATCTATCTATCTATCTATCTATCTATCTATCTATCTATCTATCTATCTATCTAAATATTATATATATATAAAAAATGCAAAGCCTTCCATAAGAACTTCCTGCTTCTTGAGTGGTGTCAGGCATGAAGGATGAGGATCACACATACGATCCAGTTAAATTGATTCATTGCTCAAGCCTGCACCCAAGAATCTAGTCAACTGATGTACAATATGAAATTGGCACCAGAGAAGGGCCCGTGGAATTCAAGAGGGCTTGGATTTAGATGGTTTGTGGGAATGTAAGGATTCTAGGCTGATGACTTGCGTAACTCTGCCCCCAGCTCTCTCAGCTCTTCTCCTACAGGCGGAGAGCCACTCAGGCGAGGTGGCTGGTATAGAAATGTAATCAATAAATAAACGGAGGCCTCTCTGCCTTTCCCATCTGCAGGCTGTCAGTATTACTACCTTCCCTGGGGCAACGTGAAACCAGTGGTGGTCCTCTCCTCCTACTGGGAGGACAGCAGCCACAGGATGGATGCCCAGAATCTTCTTGCCAGGGCTGCAGACCGGCTGGTGAGTGCTTGGGGCCGAGAAGGCTAGTATTGGAGGCCCCCAGTTAGTGTCCAGAAGAGATTCTGCTTTTCTCTGGGGTCTCGGTCAGTTAGTAGAACGAGCCGATCCTGTCTTGTAAGCGGTGCTCTTAAAAAACCAGGCGGAACATGGATCGCACCAGCACGGCCTCCATCTCGCCTTTCTGACCACAGTCGGCAGGAGAATGCTGAGTTGGCAGCATCTGAAGTCGCACGTGGGCATTAATTGAGTTAAACGCGTGTCGAATGGGACTGGGTCTCGAAAGGGGCTAATAAAGGAGAATCTTTGTGGCTCAGGATTGAAAGGAGGGGTCCCTGGTGCTCTCTGAGCTGGATGGTTTCCTCGCAGACGTTTCGTGACCCAACTAGGGAACATCATCAGTGTTAGAAGGGAGGGGGGTTTTGCAGAGAGGAGGAGGAGGAGGAGATAAGATAACTTTCTGTGGGACTCTGGCACACATTAAAAATGAAATTCTGTTGGGGGGAAGGAGGAGGAGGAGGGGGAGAATTGTGGGGTTCTTGGTGCTCTCTGACCTTGATTGTTGTCTTGTAAACATTTCACGACCCAATTAGGGAACATAATCAGTGCTAACGTCTGCCAGAAAGTGACCAAGCTCAGGAAGCACCAAGGACCCTTCCAAGGGGCTGCCCAGGATGGTCAGAGAGAGGTCTGGGGGCTCCTGATGGCTGCAGCACAAGAGGCTGGGTGGTGCCCTGTGTGCGTATGTGTCCTTCAGCTGCCCCATGGGCCAGCCAGAGGGCTGCCAGACCACCTCCCTCAGCGGCCTGTGGCATTTCTGCTCTCTGCCCAATGCAGGCTGCCAACTTGGAGCTGGTCCACCTGGCCCACAAAGCCCAGCGTTCTGCCAGCACCTTGGACACCCTGGTGGCTCAGATGCTGGATGAGCTCATGATGGACTGCAGGTAGGCGTGCAGTGGTGTGTGTGTGAGTGTGTGTGTGTGTGTGGCCAGGCCACGAGCCCCTGGGAGGCTCCATGACAAGCTTGTTTGTTTACCTTGGAGGGGGTCCCGGGGCTGAGGAATGCCGTCCATTGGTGGGCACGGGCTCCTCTGGAGGCCCCGAGTTGAAAAGGTGATGCTGGAGCCAGGTCATAAATTCCCCCTCTGGCCTGAATGGGCTCTTTGTGTGGCTGTGGCCTGGCACAGCCTTCACTCGAGGAGGAGGTCTCCCGTCCGCAGGCATGGGGAGGGGGTGGAGAACAGCCCCCCTCCTCCTCTCGAAGCTCCTGGTTTGGACCCCTTCAGGTTCAAAGCCTCTGTGAAGTCATGCTCCAGATGCCTCCTTCTTTCTTTCTTTCTTTCTTTCTTTCTTTCTTTCTTTCTTTCTTTCTTTCTTTCTTTCTTTCTTTCTTTCTTTTTCTTCCTTCCTTCCTTCCTTCCTTCCTTCCTTCCTTCCTTCCTTCCTTCCTTCCTTCCTTCCTTCCTTCCTTCTTCCCTTCCCTTCCCTTCCCTTCCCTTCCCTTCCCCTTTCTTCCTTCCCTGTCCTTTCCTTTCCTTTCCTTTCCTTTCCTTTCCTTTCCTTTCCTTTCCTTTCCTTTCCTTTCCTTTCCTTTCCTTTCCTTTCAAATTTTTTTGTCAGCCTTGCTGACAAGGCTGTTTATGACTATTATGAAAAAAGAGATGCCAAACATTAAAACATTACACAAACCAGAATTAAGTAAATCTTGTAATGTTCCTGGAGTGTCCTCTTTCTAAACAGGGTCACCCAAAGTTTAGAAATGGTGTGTTTTAGAATGTGGAATAACTGAACAACAGAACAACAGAATAACATAATCAATAGCCGAGTCGGAAGGGACCTTGGAGGTCTTCTAGTCCAACCCCCTGCTCTAGACCATGTCAGACAAAGGGCTGTCCAATCTCTTCTTCAAATTGCAGAGACCCCCATCCCAAAAGGCATTTGGCTCCCTGGGCCAAGGGGGCTGGATGGACTGATGGGGCGGGAAAGAAGAGACCTCTACCCCCCACCCCAAAAATATTACCTTCCCCTTTGAAGGGCTGGGAACAGGCAAGGAATCCCTAAGAGATTTGTCCTCTTCAAATTAAGGCAAGTGAGGAAAACCCCCCAGAGAAGATCACCCATTTCAGTCCTACAATGTTTGCAATTTTTCCTCCCTCCCTCCCTTCCCTGCTTTGCTCTGGATTTCCCGGAATGCTGCAGCAGGATTAAAAAAAAAAAGGGGGGGGAGTCTTCAGAAGTCCAGGATGATCTTTTAAAAGGGCTCCATAGACAGGTCCACAAAGTTTTCTTGGCAGCTTCCTAGAAGCAGTTTCCCACCGATGGTTTTTAACCAGGCAAATTTAGTCCTGGGTCTGAGACCAGGACTGCCTTAAATATTAATTACGAACTGTCCCTGCTTAGCATCATCCAGTTTAAGACAGGGGGACTTCAACTCCCAGAATTCCCCAGCCAGCTTTGCTAGGGAATTCTGGGAGTTGAAGTCCCCTATCATAAAGTCTCCAAAGTTGACAAGCACTGACCTAGTCAATCAAAATTCACTTGAACTCAGCTTGTCATCTGCTCATCACATCAGTTCACCCTTTTCGTATGCATCAAGGGAACCAGCTGCTTTTTCCCAGGGTAATTTTTCAATTTCCCAACCGTGACATTTCCTGGTGGTCCCCCATCCGATCCCATCCCTCTGCCCTGTTTGCGCCTCCATGCCCAGACCCCAACCGATCCATGCGTGAAATCACAGCCACATTGTTTTTAAGGAAACACTGTTCCCAAGCAAGGCCATATTCCTGTCCTCCCCGTGATTGAAATCCAAAACAAGAGGCGCGTGTGAAAAAAATGGGCGAGGATGGAAACCTTGTTTCCCCCCAAACAGAGAAACGACAGCAAATTCCAGGAATGAAAGGGAAGGCGGAAGATGGTTGCTCAGCTCGCTCCAACATTAAAACTTCCTCAGGGATTTCTCTAATTGAGTTGGTGGAAAGACAAATAAACAGGACGGGTTTCCACAACAGCCGAAAATAACCCAGCAGAAAAAAAATGTTATTTTGTGCTCATGTGGAAGGACAAAATGTTTGTTTTTCTTTCAAAGAGATGATTGTCCAGAGGATTAGAAGCCTCCTCTGTCTGGTCAACCCAAGACCCCAACGCTCCTCCTCCCAGCCCAAGGACTTCTGGGCTCTGTGAAGAGTGTAATGTCCCGGTCAATTGCTTACATAATTGTATAACATATAACCACAACAACATTCATAGATATAGTAATAACAACAACAACGTAATAATAATTAAATAGTTAAATAGAGATGATGATGATGATGTTGTTATCCATTCAGTCGTGTCCGATTCTTGGCAATTCTCTGGGCCAGGTGGTCTCACCACCTCTTCCCATCTTCTTTGAGTTGTTCTAAGCTCTGGCTGGGGTCAGCTTTGAAGGCATCCGGCCACCGTGTTCTTCGGTTTTAAGTAGGGAAAAAGTGGTAATCGGGCTATTGGATTAGGATGAGACTAACACGGGCTTCCTTGGCTACCTCCTTCCACAGCCAGCCCCTGGCTGACGTCACTCAGAAGCCCAACAGCACCCACTTGGACCAATATCTCTATCGTTTCCGCACCACCAACCTCGATCAGATGGTCCAGGCGGCCTTGAAGATGAAGCACGAAGACTCTGACCTACAGATGGTTTTGGATCAGGCAGAAGATTGGCTCTCTCGCTTAAGATCCATGGTGGAGGAGGTAGGTAGAGTTCTCGGCATGCAAAGAGGAACGGAGCTCTTCTGTCTCCTCTAAGCCATTGAGCCATTTCTTACGTCTAGCGCAGTGATGGTGAAACTTTTCAGCATCGAGTGTCGAAAAGGGAGCGCGCGCATCTCGGCTACAACCCATAAAAAGAGCTGCCAGGGCGCATGTGCGCACCTGAAAATGAACTTCCGGTTTCAGCCAGCTACTCTTCCGGATTTCTGGCGTGCACGCACATCCGATGATCAGCTGGCTGGCACACATGTTTGTACAGGAAAATGGAAGACCAGCTCTTCTAGTTTCCAGCACTGCCACATGCAAAAAGGCTATCTGATTGTCACGCACGCATGTGTGCCAGAAACCCAGAAGAGGAACAGGTGACACCGTGCGTGCCAGGCGACGTGGTTCCATGTGCCACCTGGTGCACACGTGCCATAGGTTCGCCATCACAGGTCTAGGGAAAGGGGTGTTAACACCATCATCTTCTTTTAACGACCCCATGATCCCTTGCGGTGTGGAGTTTGGGCAACCGAATGGAGCTAGCAGAGTGTTTACTGGCCGGATGCCCTTCCTGTCGCCAATGCGGAGGTGTTTTTCAGCAGATACATTCTCACTGTGCCCAGTAAGAGAAATATCTGCCTCTACCTAGGATCGAACTCACAGCCTCCTGATTGTGAGGCGAGAGCTCCACCACTAGGCCACCGCACCACTCCGAAAGGGGTGCTAACATGATAAGTGTAAAAAAAAAGGGGGGGTTAGACAACACGATCTCTATTTGCTAAAGCATGCAAAGCAGGCGTGTCCAACTTTTTGGCTTGCCTGGGCCTCCTGGAGTAAAGAGGACTTGTCTTGGGCCGCATGTAAAATATAAAATAGTTAATGTATTGCATATGTTACCCACAAGGTGTGAAAAGCTGGCACGGTATAGAATGCCTAGGAAATCTACAGGATGTGTGACGTTTTTAGGGAAACTATGAAATCTCTGTTATTTTAATGCGCAATCATATACAGTACTTTCCCTTGGCATTGCGCATAATACCTAGGCATTATGCAGAATGACAAGAATTATTTAGGCAAAGTGTAAACACAGACTCATGAAAAGGGTCAGGGTTAGCCTAACCCTAACCTTTCACTGAAAAGATGTAGATGAAAACAAAAGAAGAAATGCAAAACAAAGTACAGGACTTCCTTACTTAAAACAAACAAGAGAAAAAAAGATCAATATTGACCTACATGTTGCAACAAGGAAGAAGTCAAAGCTGCCATCGTACAATTGAGCTTTGCTTTTGCTAGCTGACAGTCCTCTTCCCCACTCCCCACTTGGCGGCGGGAGGAACTGGACAGGCAAAGTTTAACCGGGAGATTTTGGCGCGCAAACTTCAGTTCTGGCTTTGCTATATTCTAATCCACTTGGTATACCTTTCACTACAAATGGAGTCGAGGGTTTTCCTTGACTAAAGGACCAAGTCGCGGCAGGTCTGGCATTAGGTTAGAGTAGCATTTTAGCAGGTTTATTTCGTATTTTGCCACACACACACACACACACACACACACACACTGTATGTATGTTTGTATGTTGAGGGTGAAGGTTTGTTCTCTGAGCTTGTGGGTTGGATTCCAAACGTTTTCTTACCAGGCAAGGTAACATCTTCAGTGGAGTTTAGGGGACTCCATTGAAAATGTTACCTAGCCTGGTAACAAAACATTTGGAAACCAACCCACAAGCTCGGAGAACAAACCTTCACCCTCATCCTACACCCGAACTACAGGTATTTGCCACTATTGCACTGTATGGATGTACAGATAGTGCTAAAAGCTCACAATCTCATGGCATCACATTACTAGGAGCCTGAGTGGCGTAGGAGGCTAATGCCTCCTACTAAGGCAGCATTTAACATCCAGCTGCCTGCAATTACTGCGAGTTCAATTCTCACCAGGCTCAAGGTTGACTCAGCCTTCCATCCTTTCTCAGGTAGGTGAAATGAGGACCCAGTTTGTGGGGGCAATAAGCTGACTTTGTATAAAATATACAAAAGTATGAAGGCTACTGCTTAACGCATTGTAAGCCGCCCTGAGTCTCCGGAGAAGGGCGGCATATAAAAATAAATTAAAATAAATAAAATAAAAAATAAAATAGTTGTCCAGGGCCAGATGCAGCCTGTGGGGCCGCATGTTGGGACACGCCTGTTGTAAATTCATCTGTTGAATTCCGTTGATTCATTACAGCCCCCACACAGCTCAAGAGCTTTGTCAACCCTCTCTCTGCCCTCTGAAGTGTCAGCCACCCTCCCAGCTGTGGGTCACCTGCAACTTGAGGAGTGGTCCTTCAACCTCCCCATCCAAGTCATGGATAAGACCAGCACAAGAGCCAGGAGAGCCCCTGTGGCCCTCCGCTCCATCCTCCCTTCCAAACCGTGGTGGAGAACATTTGGTAGCACTCCTCGTGTGTTGCCATGCAGCCAGCTCAGAGTCCAACCAAAAGGGGCATCCTCTAACCCAACTTTTACCATTTTATGAAGGAGACCCTTTTGGCTAATTCTGCGAAGGCCTTTAGTGAGGGCCATCTCTCCTCTCCCCTTCGGTCTCCTCAGCTCACAGGTAGGATTCCTCTGGCGGAAGAGGACCTCTGCCTAAAGTCCGTTAACCCTTCCCTTGCCAGCCCCAGAACAGCCTCCCGGATGTCGTGATCTGGATGTTGCAAGGCGACCGGCGGGTGGCTTACACTCGGCTGCCCGCCCGAGAGGTCCTCTTCTCCCGCAACGGAGCCAGCTGCTGTGGCAAAAACTGTGGAAGGCTCCAGACCATATTCTTAAAAGTACGTTTACTCAGGGCCGGGTGGGATTTGGGCTTTCTAACGGGGGCGGGGAGGATACATGGGATGAAAAGGTCAGAAGTACTTTCAAGTCAAGCAACATCTCTTCTCTGGGGAGCTGCGGTCTGCAAACTGTTCTGGGCAAACGGGGGCAATCTGAAGGCAGAATGAATGGAGTCACGTGGCAGATCTTGCCTTGTTTGATATTCCATGGATTCATTGATTCACTGAATGCAAGACTTTTAGGCCCAATTCAACCATTCAAGGTTGCAATTCCCACGTTCCCCCCACTGCCCTGAAATGACCTCCCTGTGGTCATCCTTTCAGCCTGTCCTACTGACTTAGTTGCTTTGGTCATCTGAAAGAAGAATTAGAATGAGAATCGGAATAGAGCTGGAAGGGAGGTCCTTTGGTCCAGGAGACGCTCTACCTGCCCTCAGGTGCTGTGGAAGATAAGCGAAGGGTTGTCTCTTGAAGCCCCGCCAGGCTGCCAACCTCCAATAGCTCTGAGCCTTCTTCTCCCCCTCCCCCTCTAGTGTCCGCAGGAAGAGGTGGCAGGTCCCAGGATCCCAGCTCAGATCCGGGTCCGGCTGTGGCTGGGGCTGGCTGTGGACGAGAAGGAGTTCAACCAGACGACCGAGGGGAGGCTCTCTGTCTTTGCTGAAACGGTGAGCCAGATCTGATCTTCTCTAATGGGGTTGGGACGAGGAAGTTCTCCACAACTGGATGGCTGGTAGTTTTGGGGGCACCTGCCATGCAAGGGGAGAGGAGTAGGCGCCCCTTTGCATTGGAACTTGAACTGGGCAGAGACCTTTCCATTCAGAAACTCAAAAGGGCTTGGATGTTCTTTCCTGATGCTCTGACCCTACTCCACTTCTTTTCTTCTTGTTTACACCATTCTGCTTCTAGCCCTGGAGAGAGAAACTACTGCTGCTACTACTACTACTACTACTACTTCTTCTTCTTCTTCTTCTTCTTCTTCTTCTTCTTCTTCTTCTTCTCTTCTTCTTCTTCTTCTTCTTCTTCTTCTTCTCTTCTTCTTCTTCTTCTTCTTCTTCTTCTTCTCTTCTCTTCTTCTTCTTCTTCTTCTTCTTCTTCTTCTTCTTCTTCTTCTTCTCCTCCTCCTCCTCCTCCTCCTCCTCCTCCTCCTCCTCCTCCTCCTCCTCCTCCTCCTCCTCCTCCTCCTCCTCCTCCTCCTCCTCCTAAGTATAAAGTTCTGGCTCTTCCTCTTCTGGTGGCCTCAATCATTGTTAATTAACTATTGTTCATTTGCCCATTGCACTGAATAGAATTCCACCCAGCAAAAATTTCCTTTTAGCTTGCACACTCGAAAAAGTTCATTGCTCTTCCTCTAAGGTCCTGTCAGGGGCAAGGAACCAAGAACAAGATAAGGATTTATTCAGAGTGCTTTCTTTACTGGCGCCTGCCTACGGACAGGGATCTTGCCAGACTAAAGCACAGTCTGCATAACTAGTAGATGTGCTGTGTAAAGGGAGTGGGGGGGACTCCAGGCTGATTTGCCTCTTAGCTCCTGGGGAAAAGCCCCTCCATCCTGTGACTTTGGAGCAGAGGGGCTTTTGGGAGAGGGGCTTTGCCCATTTGCTCATTCCCGATTTCTCTCTTTCTCATCCTTTTGGGTCTTAGTATGAAAACCAAACGAAGCTGGCGCTGGTAGGGAACTGGGGCACAACGGGTCTCACCTACCCCAAGTACTCGGACATCACCGCCAAGATCAAGCTACCCAAGGACAGCTTCAAGCCTTCCACCGGCTGGGCCTGGGCTGGAGATTGGTTTGTCAGCCCCGAGAAGACGTGAGTGACGGACAGCAGGAGGTTGAAGTCTCCAGGGTCTCTTCCCTTTCCTTGGGGCCTCCTGGGTTAGGTCTTCCTAGCTCAGGAAAGTGGCATTCAGTCCTTTCCCCCCTCCCCCCAGATCACCCCATGGGCTGCCTTGATGCCTGGTCTCAGGCAGGAACCTGCTGGGCATTGGAAACATGGAGACCCAAAGGTGCTTTTCCAAAAGGCAACAGGATTTTCTGGGGGGTTTTTTTCCTTGAAAACATTTCACTTCGCATCCAAGAAGCTGCTTCGGTTCTGACTGACTGGTGGGGAATGGAAGGATTTATATTCTGTCCAGCCATCCAGTCGTTAGCCCTCTGAAGTTGGGTTGTTAGCTCCATGAGAGGAATTGAGGCCACTTGGGGGTTTATCCCTATCCTCAGAGTCCCCTGAACGTTACAGAAGGTGGGAAAGAGGAATCTGGATCAGAATCTGAATTCAGATTCAGATTTTGCTTTTGCTTTTGAGTGAAGAAGATGCAAAATCCATTTGAGAACTTTCAGAAGTCTTAAATTTTGTGTAGCTTTAGAGCCTCATCAATGGTTGCAACTCGACCAGTTACTTAAAGAGTTGCTATTTGCATCATCAAGGTTGTTATATCATCATCATCATCATCATCATCATCATCATCATCATCATCATCATCATCATTTGGAGAAGACCCATTTTCCAAGAACAAAGATGATGATGAAAGATGGGCCCACTCTGAATTTTCAGAAATATAAGGCACAGAAATACATTTTTTTTTGGGGGGGGGCTACCCAATTTGTGCCCGAATTGTCTTCTGCCCTCTCCTGCCAACCCAAGGAAGACTGAGGGACCAAGGCGAGGGGTTAGGAGGGCTCCCGTTTATTAATGGTCTTTTTAGGGTGAGAGAAAAAGGTCAAAAGGAGTCAGGGTCATATGCCCCCTCCCTACCCAATTCAGGCTGCTGCATGACGTGGACGCAGGTCACATGAGCTTTGTGGAGGAAGTCTTTGAGAACCAAGTTCGGCTTCCAGGAGGCCAGTGGATCCATATGGCCGAAGCCTACACAGATGTGGTAAGTGAGGATTTGGTTTAATGGGGTGGGTGAGGGACTTTCCTTTGAATGGATCATGGGAGTTCCTTCTTCTCAGCTTTATTACGACTTAGATAGGAGAATATCTGTAACTCAGGGTTGAAATCAAGGGTCTTTGGTGCTCTCTGAGCTTGGTGGTTTTCTTGGAGACGTTTCATGACCAAGCTAGGGAACATCATCAGTGCTGGAAAGGAGAGGGATTTGTGGAGAGGAGGAGGAGAAGAGGGTGGAGCAGGAGGGGGAGGAGGAGGGGGGAAGAGGAGGAGGAGGACTGTAGGGTCCTTGGTGCTCTCTGAGCTTGGTGCTTTTCTTGCAGACATTTTGTTAGGATATGGTTTGAGCCTAACAAGTTGTCCAGGCAATATATGTGTATTGTAACTTTATTCTGTAAATGTATTATGTGACTTTAAAGGTTTTCTTGTTGAATCATTGTAATGCTGAGTCATGCTGTAATTAGATAATGACTGGTTGTGAGAGTATTTAAGCAAGGTATTGTAATGTATTCAGTTTGATGATGAAGCTGATATGATATGCTACCAGAGTATGATATGCTACCATTGAGAGGAGTTGCTATCTGCTAATCATCGTTTGATGGATCTGCTACCATCGTGGTTTGTGAACCAGAGTGAGTTTGTTATTCTAACCAACTACTGTTTGTGTGGTAAGAAGATTCTGTAACTACTGGACTGATTTAAATGGCAAAGACTTGGAATTTGTTTAAAGACTATGAGACTGTTTTTCTACTATAAAGTAAGCTTTTGATAAACCAGTTTGCACATCTCTAATTCATTGCTCTCAGCAACGTTTCCTTGTGCATTTACTCTGCTGGTTGGTAACACAACACCAATATCCTTAATACATTTCATTACCCAAACTACGTAATATTAGTGCTAGTGGCTAGTCTACTGGCTAGCTAATCTCTAAACTAGCTACTAGCACTGATGATATTACCTAGTTTGGTTAAAAAAAATGTCTGCAAGAAAACCACAAGCTCAGAAAACCCCAAGGAGCCCTCGTTCCTTCTGACTCGCATGAGAGGACCATCAGGTGGTCTTCATTGGATTCTCTTCTCTTTTTTCCAGAATGGGGAGAAGATTTTGCCCAAGGAAGAAATTGAGTGTCCTCTGGGGTGGAAGTGGGAAGATGTGGAGTGGGACACCGATCTCAACCGGGCGGTGGACGAGAAAGGTATTTGCTTTCTTTTGGGATGGATGGAAAAACAGTTGGGTTGAGGCAACGTTCCTGGCCAAGTTTTCCTTGTCTGTCCGGAGTGACCCTCAGGTTGCCCAGCAGGTAGAAAAGATCTTTGACCGTCTCTGGAGACTCTCAGTCATCCGGGTCACGTTTCTCCCAAAAGTGCTTTTCCAAAAGGCAACTGGACTTTCTTGGTGTTTTCTTTGAAGATCTTTCGCTTATCATCCAAGAAGCGTCTTCAACTCTGACTGGATGGTGGGGAATGGAGGATTTATATTCCTTGCAGAGCTGAAGAAGCTTTTTGGATGAGAACATCTAAGAAAACTAAGAAAGTTCAGTTGCCTCTTGAAAAAAGCACCTTCGGGACAACATCTTTGACGGTAAGTTTTTAAAGAAACAATTCTCTTTTTTAAAAAAAGACAGCAGACAAATAGAAAATAGACAATAATGGAAAGAGAACTCAAAAGCTCTGGAGGATTTAGAGCAATCCCCCACTTTTGTCTGGACAAACACATTCTTGCTTCTTGAACAAGGAAATGAGATGATAAGGAATCTCCTGACATTCCTTCGTATTATTTCCTTCTCTCTCTTTGAAGTAGATCTAGCATGATGGGCTGTAGCCGGATTTATTACTAAAACTAGAGGAAGGGATACTTGGAGGCTACTGGGCAATTCCTTGCTGTTTGGGGTTAAAAAACGGTCAGCAAGGACTTTCTTCCTTGACGTGTCCATCAAGGTCCCAAGATCTGGAATTTTTTTTTTTTAATTTGATTTATATGCCGCCCTTCTCCGGAGACTCAGGGCGGCTTACAATGTGCTCAGCAATAGCCTTCATACTTTTGTATATTTATACAAAGTCAGCTTATTGCCCCCACAACTGGGTCCTCAATTTACTTACCTTAGAAAGGATGGAAGGCTGAGTCAACCTTGAGCCTTGGCGAGATTCAAACCTGCAGTAATTGCAGGCAGCTGGTCTTAATAACCAGCTTAATAACAGGGTGCCTTAGACCACTGTACTACCAAGGCTCTTGGCATGTCAGGTTTCAACAGACCTGCTGGACTTCTAGTTTCAGGATTCCAGTTTCAGGATTCCTCACCCCTGTCCATGGAAAGGAGTAGAAGTTCAACAGATGTTCCCCCTTGGTTAAATACAAAAGGGTTAGACCAGTGTTTCTCAACCTTGGTAGCTGGAAGATGGGTGGACTTCAACTCCCAGAATCCCCCAGCCAGCGCTGGCTGGGGGATTCTGGGAGTTGAAGTCCACCCATCTTCAAGCTTCCAAGGTTGAGAAACACTGGGTTAGACCATTCTGTTTAACATCCCAAGCTTTTCTGTCTCTTCTCCCAGGCTGGGAATATGGCATCACCATCCCTCCAGACAACAAACCGAAGTCTTGGGTGCCAGCAGAGAAGATGTATCACACTAACCGGCGTAGGCGTTGGGTGAGGCTCCGCAGAAGAGACCTTGCTCAAATGGAAGCGTTGAAAAAGGTAGGCACTAGGTGGGCACACGAAGCAAACATTGACAAGAGCCATGTCCCATCATCTCCATGCAATCTACAGAATAACAGAGAGGGATGGGACCCTGGAGATCTTCTAGTCTAACCCCCTGCTTAAGCAGGAGACCCTCTACCATGCCAGACAAATGGTTGTCCAGTCTCTTCTTAAAAGCCTCCAGTGATGGAGCAGCCACAACTTCTGGAGGCAGGCTGTTCCACGGGTTAATTGTCCTTGCTGTCAGGAAATTTCTCCTTAGTTCTAGGTTGCTTCTCTCCTTGATGTCTCAAGTATTGGAAGAGTGCAATATCTAATGGCAAAAGCCTTTCCACTAATTCATTGTTTTCAATAATTGTGAGATGTGCTAAATCTATGATTGGAGTGTAGACAACATACATGGACTATATGAATGGAGTGAAGTTGTGAACGATGCCTCTCTCTCTCTCTCTCTCTCCTCCCTCCCTCCCTCCCTCTCTTCTTCCCTCCCTCTCTTCTTCCCTCCCTCCCTCCCTCTCACTCATCTTATTTCTTATTTCTAGAATAAGAGCTTGGAAGGAGGTTTTTTTTAAGTTCTGAGTTTTCTAAATATCTTCAGGAGGTATCATTTCTGGCCCATCCCTGTTCAGATTTTTTTCTTCTTCTTCTTGTTTCCTTGACAAAAAAGCTTTGGGGTTGTTTGGTTGGGTTAAGTTCTTCCCCATCTGGGTCACTCACATGACGCAGGAGCCATTGGTCAACTTGTCCTCCAAAGTTGTGTCTCCCTCAGAAAGTTTTGGGTTGTCCTCCTGACCGCTTTGCTTGTTATTGCCCGGCCGTACTGAATTTTGTGTGTGTTCAGCTCTCGTGGTCGGAGTGTCCTCGTAGATAAATACTTGGCTTTATAGCTTACTGATGTTTTTATGCACCAAAGCTGAAAGGTTCCTTCTGTTGAAGATGAGGCCAAAGGGTTTACAACTCCAAATTAAAGTAAAAGGATTAAAATTCCGTTTTGCTTTTTAAACAGAGGGAAACCATTGGTAGGCTTCTGGCTTTGCAAGGTTCAAAATGTTGAATAAACATTTCGAGGGGAATCAAATTTTCGATGCGTGTGTGCACAATTATACCACACAACCCTTTTAGAGGTAAAGCTGCATTCCTGCACAATTGTGTAGCTATGGGGATGGGAAAGTCTCCCTGGAGTCAAAGGTAGCATGGACACCCTACAGTGGGTTTGAAAAATGGAATCTGGAGACTTCTGTGTCTTCTCCATTGCAGCCTTCTGCTTGGAGTTGTGTGTCCTCACTGTAAGGATGAAGCACACACTATCTTTTGCTCTTGTTCCATGGTGACCTTTGTGTTCTTTGCATTGTTTCTGAGGTTTGATTGGCGTAGAAAAAGAATCAAAGGAACACAGAACTGTGGGCTCCTTCGTGGACTCTGAGCTGGGGGTTTTTCTTACAGACATTTTCATTGCATTCATAGGGAACAGAATCAGTGCTAGAAGGGGAGGAGGAAGAGGAGGAGGAGGAGGACGGCTGTGGGGTCACTGGTGATCTCTGAACTTGATTCTTTCTTGCAGACTTTTCATTACCCAACTGAGTAACATCATCAGTAGGGTAGAGTAGAGTAGAGTAGAGTAGAGTAGAGTAGAGTAGAGTAGAGTAGAGTAGAGTAGAGTAGAGTAGAGTAGAGTAGAGTAGAGTAGAGTAGAATAGAATAGAATAGAATAGAATAGAATAGAATAGAATAGAATAGAATAATACATTCATCAAGAATAGAAGAGAGTGATGTTTGCAGAAAGAAGGAGGAAGAGGAGGAGGACTGTGGGCTCCCTGGTGCTCTCTGAGTTTGGTTGTTTTCTTGCAGATGTCTCATCCCCTGACTAGGTAACATCATCAGTGCTAGAAGGGAGTGAGATTTGCTCTCTCTTTAGATACAAGTGGCTTGCTCTGCCAGTGTTGATGGGAATTTTCAACACCCAGATAAGCACAGATTAACACCAGCATTAATACCAGCCAACAATCAAGTAATAAACAATACCCCACTCAAGGAACTACCAACTCAGACAAACAATGACACAGTAATTCACAGTCTCATGAAGGAACTTGGTATACCGCAGTGTGCTACCGGCAGTGTTTCTGCTCTCCTCTAGGTGTCACCCTTGCACAACAGATGGCTCAAATAATCTGGAGGAGTTCTTGGCAGTTTGCATCTGCCCTTCTTGAGCTTTGAATGCTAGAAGTGGTAGAGGTGGAGATGCAGTGAGGGTCGCCCTTGTGGAAAGCAGTTTCCTTTTCCAGCAACCCAACAATATAGCAATTCTCAGCTAGCTTCCTCTGGGAGAACCTCCCTCACGATCCTGTGGTGGAACCTCACTCAAGGTCGTGACTTCTGTTTCCTCCCGAAGAGGTTAGAACAAGCTGTCCCTGAAGATGGACAGAGCGGCTTTGCCAACTCCTTTGATCGGCCACAGTCGGTCATCACATCCAGCCTGGAGGACAAAACGGTGGTCCCAGAATCAAGCAAGATGTGACTCATGTTGACTTGAGGCCAGAAGCTCTCCAGATTTGTGTTCCGTGTGGAGGTCCACGGACTGACACTGTTAAAAGCGAAGCCGGATGAAATGAACAGATTGCACAAAGCCTCTGCTTGGTTTACATTCATTTGTTGTTCCTTGAGGAAGCGGTGAGTTGCGTCCTTCCTGTAAGCTGTTCGGACTGCATTTGTCTGGGGTTGGCTAAAGCCAGAGGCCCGTTGATATGGGCGATTCTGGAGGAGTTGGCTGGAGACCCTGCCGGACTAGTGACCCAAGAGAAGCTTGTCTTGTCGGGGCTCAGGTCAACTTGAGCAGAAAGCTTTCCGTCTAGGTGGGCTGCCTGTATTTCTATACACCAGGCTGTGGGGTCCTTGAGGCTCCCTGAGCTTGGTGAACTGATGAGGTTACCTAGTTGGGTGATGAAACAAGCAAACAATCAACTCAGAGATCACCAAGGACCCCACATACTACTTCTTCTCCTTCTCTTTCTCTTTCTCCTCTCAAACACCATCTCCCCTCCTCGTCTTCGCCATCATCATCTCCCTTCCTTCTCCTTCTCCTTCTCCTTCTCCTTCTCCTCCTCTCAAACACCATCTCCCTTCTCGTCTTCTCCATCACAATCTCCCTTCCTCCTTCTCCTTCTCCTTCTCCTTCTCCTTCTCCTTCTCCTTCTCCT